GGGGGTTTTTTTCATGGGGAAAGGAGGAAGGGGAAAAGAAAACAATAATGATCTTGGAAATCAAACATTCATTTCAGTGTAAAATAGGTAGTATCCTTCTGAACGCTCCTTCAGCATCATTGTCACATTCTATACTTTGTTCAATCACACTCATTTTAATTAGCTAGTATATTGTTTGGGGACCACAATTCCATTTGCTCATCATCATTACAATCATCATCGCTCCTCACCACTCCACACACACAGACAGACACAGACACAGTGAGTCTCCTCCCTCTCCCCTGGGCTCATGCACGCCCCTGCCGGCTGTCGTCAGTCCCCCCCCCCCCAAACTCCGTCCTTGCCAGACTCTCCTAACCCAGTCCTTCTCCTCCTTCTACTAAGACTACTACTATTATTATCATCATCGTTCCTTTCCCACCCCCCCATCACACCCTCAACTTCCTGCTCGCTTGCTGGTCGGCTGGCTAGAGAATTTGGGGCGTGCTTTCTATTTTGCTTGCTTGCTTGTCTGCTGGCTAGCTGGCTGGCTTGGCTGCTGCTTTATTGGAATTGCCCAGCACCTGTCGTCATCTAATCCCGGATTTATTGTTTCTATTCCATCGCTGTACAGATTGCCCCTCAAGCTACGGGCCCTGCCTTACTACTAACTAATCATCACTTTACTGAGTTTGTCAGGCTGGTATGTTGTTTGCCTTCTTTTCCAGAACATCTCCCCCGCTCTCTCACTCTCTTTCTTTTCTTTCTCTCTCTCTCTCTCTCTCATCCATTCCCGCACTTTTGTTTGTAGCTTGTCGCTATAGAACCAGATACCTTCCTGAAACAACACTAACGCTCACTGGATCTATTACTATCTAGCTTAGTGTATTATCCCTTATCGGCCTCCCCTACTCTGCCCGTTCCTTCTCCGAATTCTTGCGGTTCCGAGCTTTCCACACTTCACTGCCGACTACTAGCTACTAGATAGCTACCACCATCACCGATTTGCGCGCCCGTTCTACGTTCCCTCGTGCCTCAAATTTTGTTCGAGCTATCCGCCCCTCATTCCTTTGGTCATAGAGCAGGCAGTCATCATTCACTCTTGTATTTCGTCGGCTGTTTCAGGCAATCGCCTCCTTGATACCTTCCACTCCTTCTCACCCACGTCGCCGTCGACTTGCGATCTCTTGCCCCCACCCCTTACAACCGGAAAGACACCTGCGGCCTTCGGTTCACTTTCTATATATCCCTCCCTACGTTGGATGGCCACCCTTGACGACCTAATACCACTTCAATTCCGCACAGGACCATCTCAGACACGCATACTCTATCTCCGCGGACTTCCCCCAAGGCAGGCGGAGATAATCTAAACACATGCCACCTCCGAGGACGAGAGCGGAGGTCCAGGCCCAGAAACAAAAAGAGAAGGTGCGTTTCGGTTTCTTTCTTTCCAGTTGGAGGTTGAAGAGCATCTGCAATGCGCACGTCCTATTCTCCGCTCTCTCTCTCTTTCTCTCTTTTCGGACAGACACGGCGTGTTCTATCGACCCCGCCTCTGTTTCAGGATTGATTTGCCCCTGCTCTTGTCTTGGTAGGTGTCTTAACTAACTGGGTTCTCGCGCTATCAACAGCTTGCCCAATCATACAATGCGCTGCTAGAGTAAGCACAGTCCCCCATCTCGCCTTCGTCTTCCAGCATGGATGCTAACGGTAGTCGTCTCCATAGGGAGTTCTCTTCGAAAGACCTTCGCACTGTAGGAAACTACACACTTGGGAGATTAATCGGGAAGGGTTCCTTTGGCAAAGTATATCTTGCCTCACATAAGCTTACCAATGGCTCCAAGGTATGCCTATGACGCAGCCCACTCCTTATGTGTCAGATAGACCTGACCAGATTACGCGCAGGTGGTGCTTAAGTCTTCGAGTAAGGAAGACAGAAATTTGGCTCGCGAGATCCATCATCACCGCCAGTTCCTCCACCCCCATATTGCCCGCCTCTACGAAGTCATTGTGACGGAAAAGCTGGTCTGGCTTGTTCTCGAGTACTGCCCGGGTACGTCGCGAGATGCTGCTGTAGATGTAGTAGGATGCCACTAACACACTTGGGCAGGTGACGAGCTGTACAACTATCTCCTCCGACATGGTCCGTTACCGGTAGACAAAGTCAAGCGAATCTTCACACAACTAGTGGGAGCCGTTGCCTATGTCCATAGCAAATCTTGTGTTCACCGTGACCTGAAACTAGAGAATATCTTACTCGACAAACATGAGAACGTGAAGCTTTGCGACTTTGGGTTTACTCGAGAATATGAGGGCAAGGCGAGTTACTTACAGACATTCTGCGGGACAGTATGCTATAGCGCCCCGGAAATGCTGAAGGGCGAGAAGTATGCTGGCGAAAAGGTGGACGTCTGGAGCCTGGGTATCATTCTTTACGCCCTGCTCGCTGGGGAGTTGCCATTCGATGATGATGACGACCAAGTAACAAAGGCTCGGATCCTTGGCGAAGACGCCGTTTTCAATGATAAATTCACCGACGATGCCAAAGCACTCATCAATTCACTCCTGTCGAAACGGCCCCTTATTCGACCCAGCCTGGACGAAATCCTTGCCCATCCGTTTCTTGCAGAGCATGCCCCCGAACAGTTGGCGATTCTCAAAATTCCGCGCCCGGCCGCCTTCTCGACTCCTTTGGAGAGGACCACACTGCAGCGCATGAAGAGCGCAGGAGTCAATATCGATGAGGTTGTTGAGAGCGTCCTTTCTCAACGCTGTGACCCCCTCGCTGGCTGGTGGGCATTGTTGATCGAAAAGGAGCAGCGGAAAGAGCAGAAGAGGGAGCGTAAACGACGCGAGAGAGAAGCGGAAGCTAAGAATATTCGTCGCTTGAGTGCAGCAAGCAGTCGGCTGGAAAAGATCTCGGCCGCCCTTGTTGAAGTCGACGAAGAGGGCCACGCCTCAGACGCTCATCTTCGTGAACGAGGGCGGCGAGACAGGCGGAGCCTCCCCTCCCAGCTTGCTGTCCCGGAGCTGCCAATGCTTCCCGAGCCGGCGCCCCTGCAGTCACCGGATTCTAGCACACCTCCCCCGCCTATTGACAAAGATTCCATTCGTTCTGCTAGTTCGACCCGGCAGCGTCCCCCACCACCGCCGAAGGATCAAGCGCGACGGCCGAGCACGTTGCATGTGAGCGCATCGCAGCCTGAATTGGCCCAGCACAACAATGGCATCTTTAGACGCCGCACCGGTCGCCGCCAGTACCCGATAATCAGCCAGTTGGCCTCGTTGAAACACTGGTTTGTAGAGTCTGCAAAGAGAGCCAAATCTCCTCACGCCAAGGCCGCTGGGAGTCAAGGAGGCCATCGCAAGTTCCTTTCCGAGAAATTGAGCCCAGCCAAGGGCCAGGATACTGGGAAAAAGCCCACTTCGGCATCTGGGGCCACCGCTCACTCTGGTGACTTGTTGACGCCAACACAGATCAAGCGCTCATCGAACGCCAGCAGCTTAGCCCCTAGCAGTGCTTCCTATCCGAACAACCGCCATTCCTACCCTCGCCACAATCGTCCCTTGAGCACTAGCCAGAGAAACTCTCTCTCGCCATCTCCAATTACTCCAAGAGGTTCATACCGGCGGTCCTCCGCAGGTCTACGTGGCCGCAAGTCCACTTCATCCTCTGTGTCCTCTATTCGCAGCATCCATCATGCCCATAGCCACTCTAAAGCATCATCCGTTTCGTCGAATAGTATTGGTTCAGCGTCGACCCCAACGGCTCGAATTTCGAAATCCCCTCACACATCAGTCAAAGTCCTTCCCACGACGCCAAGTGCCTCTGCCCGGTTTCCCAGTAATATACGTTTGGTGCGGGGCACACAGAACGGATTCCGTGACATTGATGACCCTAACGGGAGGATCAATAACATGTTCAATGAGGCAGCTCCAACGCCACTGCTCTACTCCCCTTCGTCAAGCCTCGTCTTTGCACGCCGAAAACGATCCGCTTTCAAGGGACCTATGGTCCACACTGCCAATCTTATGGTTTCTGGTGGAATGGCAAGCACAGAGTACCCAAATGGCGACATCGGCATTGGAGGCCCTGCAGTCGCAGCTGCAGCTCGACCTGGGGCACGAAAAAGCCAAATTATAGAAGAGGAAGAAGACATGGAGGAAGATATTGAAGAAGTTGATACATTCGATGGCCTGGATGAAGGGCCAGGCTCGCCAGTCGACTCGACTGCTTCAGAAGACCACACAGGCGCTGGGCATCTGATGGGATCGTCCCTCGGGCGAATCGGCAAACCAACCCTAGCTCCTGCTGCCGAACTCGAGTCGACTCCGCGCCCACCCCATACATCTTGATCGAGTGACACCCGATTAGAATGCGGTGTCTCAGGATTGTCAGTGTCGCCATATCTTAGGAGTCACGAATCCAGGAAACGGAGAGCCAAGAAGACATAAGCGACAGCGACCATAGAGTACAAGCTCGCCGAGTACATTGTTGACATGTTTGATTGATTGTTTTCTCATACACATTTATACCCCTTTTTCTTTGCGTCTATAAGGAGCTAAAATTTCTTGGACATTGATTTCTCTTCTGTTCTTCTAGCCTTTTCTTCATGATGCGGCGCGCAAAATAATGATCGGATGACGAGTTGGGAGGCGTTTGTATACCATCCCATCCCTCTTGTTTTCCTTATTTTACACCCTTCCCATTCTACCCTTCCTTCATCCTATCTACTTTAGAAGAACTTGAATGATGCTTATCTTCTCTGACCAGGACATCGGATCATGCACACCTTCGCATTCCCTTTCTGTGTATCCTATTATGCGTTTATCGTTCACCCCTTCCCTATTGTCTCCATACCTTTCCTGCCTGTACTTGTTTTTTTTTTTTTTTTTTTTTTTTCTTTTCTTTTCTTTTCTTTCTTTCTTTCTTTTTACTAGAGATATCCCCTTCATACGGCTGCCCATGGAGATACTCAAATTCTGGATCTTAGTTGGACGAAGTGACGCGCAAGGCTGGTTCAAAGGTGCAGACACGAGGAAAAATCCCTGCTGATCAACGCAGTTTAGATTTGTCCACCGTCCATTGCGTGCGCTCTCGGCCTTTTTGATCCTGGATTGTGTATATTCCCGATTCTGTTTCCGATAGAATAGACTTCACTTTTAATGCCCACAACCGCATCAGAGGTATTATAGTAAGCAGAGCAGTAGATCGTTAATGAACTCGTAAACAACATGAGACGTCATGGCGAATGTTAACCACTATGCAGCGCCGAGCAACTGCATGCATGTAGAAATTATCTAGTGTATTCCACGCGAGCAGTTTCCTCTCCTTTCTCTTTCTCCATATCCGCCAACCCATCACCACCACTTTCAACATCCTTCGGACTGACACTAGCTTCATCTCTCAACCCAATTTCACTCTCCCCCACCTTATCAACCATATCCCGATACGCCGGCACGAAGTTCACCGCGAGGGCATACGTCCACGCCACAACCATGAACATAGTCGGAACGATCATCGCAAAGCCCGTACTATTTCGCATATCGGCTACATGACCCAGGATTGGAGGCACGACGGCACCACCAGACACACCGCCGACAATGAAGCCCGAGCCGCGCTTGTAGTGTCGGCCGAGACCGCGGATACCTAGTGCTACGATGGTGGGGAAACAGACGGATTCGAAGAAGAGGGTGAGGAAGAGCATTGCTAGATAGATCGACATGCGGATTAGGATGATGATGATCTTCATTCTTTCTTTGGTGTTTGTTTGGACTGGACGGATTGATGATGGATGGAAAGAGGGAAAAGGTAACGTACCTATGCCTTTTTGATCACGTTGGGTTATGGATGCGGCGATGAATGCTACGGTGAGTGAGAGGTATGCTAGGAATACCCAGCGAGCTTTGACGAATCTCATGATTATCGCGCCGAGGAATCGGCCCATTGCAAAGGCTCCTTGGGCACCGGCGAGGTATTTGGAGCCGGTGGCACTGGTGGTTCCGGGCCAGGTTTCGACGACGTAGTTGATGAAGTAGCCTGCGATGGCGACTATGGAGCAGCAGGAGCAGGTTAGTATTTTGGATCGTAGTGTGTAAAGGGAGCGTAGGAGGAGGCGTTTGTACCTTGGGCACCGGTATAAGTAAATTGCGCCAACGTAGCGTGAAACAGCCTGTACTGTTTCCAAGATGGTTTATCCTCTTCGCCAACGTGCGTTTCGGCCACCTGGAAGGCCATGTCTTCGTCGGTTACTTCAGGGATGGTGGAAACGAAGAAGACGCCGGCAAGAACGAAGACAAAGATGCCAATGGCTAGATACACCCATTGTACTCGCTTGAGAGCGTTCACGTCATCCTCAGTGGATGTGAAGAAGACGTATGACGCTAGGGCTGGTGCGACGCAGGTGCCGATGCCGTTGAACGCCTGGGCGAGGTTGATTCTGATCTCGGCGTATTTGGGTGGACCACAAACTGATCGTTTCAATAGTTAGCAGGCTTTTCACTATTTCCTCTCAAAGCGTCAGCTGGAGGCGGGACATGGATGGTTGACTAACCCGTAAGGTACGGGTTGGCAGCGGTCTCCAACGATCCTAGGCCCGAGCCAATAACGAAGGTAGCTGCGCAGAAGCCACCAAACGATCGGTTTAAGCCTGCAGGCCACATGCAGAGGGCACCGATGCCATATAGAGTGAGCCCGAAGATGAAGACGGTTTTGTATCCGAAGTGACGGAGTATGTAGTTTGCATATCCCAAGGATGCAAGAGGATAAGCACTAACGATCATCAGTTGATTGTCACATGTACAAAGCCTAGCAAATGTCTGACTGACCCAAAGTAGGCTGCTTGAAGACCCGAGGAACGTGTCCGTGTGATATGCAGAGTGTTCTGGAAATGTTTATTGAGTGTGTCGAGCAGGCCGTAGGCAAAACCCTGGTGGAAAATGGTATTAGCCGATTAAATCGAGTAAGGGCTGGGCTGGTGCACAGCTTACCCAGAGAAAGAAGAGTATAGTAACAAGGGTCAGGGGCCAAAGACTCTGGCGTAAGGTCAGGGTAGCTGCAGAAGTAGTCCTGCTATTGTCAACCCGGAACCCAGACCGGGTCTTAAGAAAGTGGAGGAACCCCATTCTGTGGGGTAGGGAGAAGGAAGTAAACCCAGGGCAGTGATGGAAAGAGAATACAATGGACAAGAACAGGTGACTCTGGTAAAGTAAAGAAAAAATATACCGAAGCAGCCTGTGGAATTAATGAAAAGACAAGCAATGCTTGCAGGGGGTTCAAGCACAAGGAATAGCCCCCAGACATTGGCACCCTGGCTCCTTATGTACTACTTCGTTCAGCATGAGGGCATCGTCTTCGCTACCCATGTGAGTCCATTCCTTGGCATCAACCCAAAAAACACACTCTCAACTAAAAGTCCCCCTCATTCTCCTCTCACTGGAATTGGTTCTGAAGGCCCAGCCAAGCTTGAAGACGGGCAGTAGCACCGCCATCCCCAGACTTCTTCCCCACAAATCCAGGCAATCCTTGGAAAGGATCACCGGTCAGAATCCACCAGTGAGGAGTCGAAACGGGCCGACATCCCATGATGCGTAGCGCAACCAATCTTTAGCCGTTAGAAGCCAGCCCAGTTGCTCGAGGTGCATCAATTCCAGGGTGACATTCCTCGTAAAGCGCGAGGGTCATGGGTGTTGGCGGTTAGCAGCAGTAGCAGCAGCCGTAAACTTCTTCTCGGCGGTTTCCCCCGCATCCATTTGATCCTAGTTGAGCGAGTGAGAATAGTTAGCGATGACAGTTTATTGGCTTTGGCTTGCCCTGGTAGTGAAAGAAGGTTAAGATGGCTTGCCAATTTCCCTAATTTCCCCTCCATCCTTATATCCCTCTTGCTGGCCTTACTCCGCAGTCGGGGAAATTAGGCTAATAACCTGACAAGACTGACTATGCACGCCCAGCTGCATATGCGACAAAATCAGATCTTGCTGCCTGCTAGCAAGGGGGGTACTTGATAGCAGGCCACTGAGTGGAATTAGCCGGGACTAAACCAGTCCCGACTGAGATTGCGATTGCTGGGTCGAGAGGGCTAATACTGATAGTGCTGCTTCGTTGAGAGACAATGGCCCTGTCCATGTCACGGGGCCCGGACAGCGTGACTGTCAGTTACTCTCAACTCGTATACGACCAGACAGTTACAACCAAGGGACTTTCAGATACAGACACAATTCGTCTCTTCGTTGTTCTTATGCAATCAGAACATCCAACATGTTTTACGTACATGTGATCAACCACCCAACAGCAGAAAACCAAAATATAACAGGGCTGGAGGGCCGATATCTATATCTATCATCAATGCACCCCCTCATATTCGAGTCATCACTTCGTTGCTCAAATCTACGCTCTCTTAGGCTTCCCAACTCCTCCGTTCTGTTGTTCCACGGTAGATCTTGCCGGGATGTTATTGTACAGACGACGTTCCGCCAACTTAAGGACCTCATCGATGAGCCTAGTTTTTCGGTCAGCAACATTCTCGAGGGGCATGGCAGTTCAATAGATTGACTTACACAACCGGGGCACTAATGGCCACGACGGCCTTCCATTCCATCCAGTCCAGGGGCAGGATCGAGAACAAACCCTGCAAGAAGGGCACATACAAGATCGCGAAGTGCAATGCCATCGAAAGGATGATGGCACCGACCAGCATGGGGTTGTTCCAGAGAGCAAATGTAAGAAGGGATTCGCTGGACGAAAGTGCGTTCATGGCGTTCAACATCTCAATGACGACCAGGATCGAAAGAGACACAGTAGACGCCGAGCGGGACATATCGTTCGAGAACATCTCGCATCCAATCTCGGGGAACTGAGAGGAACACTTGTGGAAGTGAGACTGCGCAGGGATTAGCAAGGCTGGGAGGAAATACAGGCAGACTAGACGATGCATATCTTACCAATTGCCAAAAGGAGATCTGGGGACCCTCAGGGTTGTACACAAACCACCACACGTAGCCAAAGACTGTAGCCGCACCGACATAAGTGCCGATCACCATGTATCTGAACAGAAGCCAGCCGCCAACCAGGGGCTCATCGCGCTTGCGGGGAGCGCGTCTCATCACATCATGGTCAGGGGGGTTGAAGGAGAGCGCGGTAGCAGGCAGGCCATCGGTAACAAGGTTAACCCAGAGAAGCTGCACGGGAATCAAGGCTTCAGGCATGCCCAAGGCGGCGGTCAAGAAGATCGACACCACTTCGCCGATGTTCGAAGAGATGAGGTAGCGGATGAACTGCTGAGTGTTGCTATAGATGGAACGTCCCTCTTCCACCGCCACGGTAATGGTGGCAAAGTTGTCGTCGGCCAGAACCATATCAGCAGCCAGCTTAGCAACGTCGGTACCTGTTCCCATAGCCACACCAATATCCGACTTCTTCAGCGCAGGGGCGTCATTAACACCGTCACCAGTCATGGCGACCACATGGCCTTGAGATTGGAGAAGATCAACCAGCTTGGACTTGTGGCTAGGCTCGGTGCGGGAAATCAAAGACACAGTCTTAGCAGCCTCGAGTTTCTCAGCGTCCGAGAGGCCGTCAAACTCCCTTCCAGTAAGGCTCTTGCCTTTGAGATCCTCACCCTCATGGAAGATACCAATCTGACGGCAGATCGACTCGGCGGTGTTCTGGTTGTCACCGGTAATGACGATAACCCGAATTCCAGCATCGTGGCATTTCTTGATGGAAGCCGCAACCTCAACGCGGGGAGGATCGAGCATAGCGACAAGTCCGATAAGAGTCATGTTTTGTTCCAGCTGAGCGTAGTCCTGAGACGACTGAGCGTTGTGAAGCAGAGGGTTGTTGCTGACATTGTCGACACTAGCCAGAGCCATCACGCGAAGACCGCGGCTACCGTAACCCACAACTTCAGCAGCGAGCCTGTCAAGATGAGACTTCGTGAGAGATGTCCGTTTTCCATCAGCTCCAAGAAGAACATGCGTGCACCGCTCCAAGATAGACTCGGGAGCACCCTTGACGAGTAGCTTCTGTTCCTTATCATTTCCAATGAGCACGGACATGCTCTTCCGGTCACGCGAGAATTCGTAGGTTGCTTTCAAGGGCAAGCGAGCTTCGTAGTGCGCGCTTGCGGCATGGAGCCGCTGGGAGGCGGGGAGGCGGAACAGCTTCGCATTCGTAGCGGCATCATCGGTGCCAATCTTCTCGACCAGAACACGCAGCGCACCCTCAGTAGGTTCACCGATACAGGAAAATGAGCCGTTTTTCGCATCGTGGGCCAAAGTCGCACTGTTGCAGCGAGCCATGACCTCCGCCATTTGCCGAACAGTGGCCGAGGACACGGCAATGTTCTGGATTTCCTTGCCATCGCGAGTGACTTTACCTTCAGGCGCAAAAGTGGTGCCTTCAATATCAATCTCTTCAACACCGTTGCCGGCCGCATTCAGATACGCCATCTTCTCTGCGCTCATTTGGTTGGTGGTCAAGGTTCCAGTCTTGTCGGAGCAAATCACACTGCAGCTGCCGAGAGTCTCCACGGAGGGAAGCGAACGGACGACTGCGTTCTTCTGAGCCATCTTGCGGGTACCAAGTGCGAGACAGGTGGTGATGACAACAGCCAAACCCTCGGGAATGGCAGCCACACCCAGAGACACTGCGATCTTGAGATAGTAGATGGCTCCCTTAGTCCAGCCTCCATGAGAAGGGTCGTTGAAATGCTCGATGTTGATCACCCACACCAGGATACAAATGACGGTAATTACTTTAGCCAGCATGTCTCCGAAATCATCAAGCTTCTGCTTCAGTGGGGTTGGCTCCGAGATCTGGGAGGTGATGCTCTCGTGGATGTCACCAATCGCGGTCGATCCACCGGTCAAGGCCACAATGGCGGTAGCGTGTCCATTAACAACGGTGGTACCAGAGAAAAGCATGTTGGTTTGATCCTGCTTAACGGCCTGCTTGTCATGAACAGTGCGGGTGTCCTTGCTCACACTCTCACTCTCACCGGTCAGGATGGCTTGATCCACTCGGAAGCTGTTGCTGTGGACGGCAAGTAGCCTGCAATCCGCTGGAACACGGTCTCCAACCGCAACAACGACAATATCTCCGGGAACCAGTTCTTCGGCCTTGACACGCTTGGTAACGCCATCACGGACAACAGTGGCTTCATTTGCAGAGTATTCCTGGAGAGCAGCAATAGCCTTCTCAGCATTGCTCTCCTGGGTAACACCAACCACGGCATTCAAAATCAGAATCGTCAAGATCTATGGTATAACAGGATTGGTTAGTGACTTGGGTCGACGCGCGCCAGACTCGGGAGGATTTCAAGCTCATACCACAACGGGGTCAACGAAGGCGGACCAGTCATCTCCTTCTTCGAAAAGAGCCAGAACGAAGGATACAGCAGCGGAGCCCAGTAGAATCAGGACCAGTTGGTCCTTGAATTGTTCCAGCACAAGTTGCCAAAGAGGGGTCGGTGGTTCTTCCGCAAGGGCTATGAAAGTTCGAGCCGCCGGTCAGTGCCTGCGATATTACTCATGGGGTAAGAAAGCTGCAACCTACCATTAGGACCATACTTTTTTCTCGATTGAGAGACCTGATGTTGCGACAGACCAGAGCTCTCTTTGACATCAAAATGGTCCAGCACTTCGGCTGGTGAATAAAGGTAGGAGTGCTCCATGTTGGGGACTCCACGAAAGCGCAAGGTGGCCTGGAGCGGGAGCAACAAGGAAGGAAGAGAGAGGAAAAGAAGGGAAGAGATCGGGGATATAACCCAGATCAAGACATGAACGCCAAGTGGCCGGAAGCTTGGGACCTAGTGAGTGGCACTGCAATCAAGTCGGAGAGGTTAGTCCCCTAGCGGGAAGGATCTAGAAGAGTAGTAGATAGTCGGATAGGATGGGGGAGTGGAAAGCGGACACACCAGATAGTACCGTAGTTAATAATACCGGGCAAGACCAATACCAAATACCGTCAGCCAAGCACGGGGAAGGAAGAGGAGGAAGGAAGGAAGAAAGGAAAGAAAGATAACCAGGGTTAACCTTCTGAGTGACTCTGGTTTGTAAGAAGATGGCAAAAAATGATGATTTCTAACTTATAAATAAATGTCCCATTCCATACAAGGACCGAATGATGGGCCAGGGATTTTGCCTCTGGGGGCTCGGGAACCGTGAACCAGAGGCGGCTTTGTCAGGCACTCAACGTGTTCTCTTCATTTGCGGTGTCTGGATCCATCTGGTCCCCCCCGTCTCTGTGCCAGAATTGCCGGTTCCAATCCGACAGGGCTGAACCATACCATGACCGTGCTTTGGTGAGTCCGGGCGTTGGAGTTGGCCTGTTTAGTAGTCTCTACGACTGGATTATCCTCGTATCTTCTTACAAAAGTTCTATAGCTTTGTGTCTGTTATCTTGCATGTTATAATAAAATCCATGAGAAACCAAGCTGAAGGATATTACAGTGATCCATTAGGGGAAAGGGTGAAAAAAAAAAAAAAAAAAAAAAAAGGAAATTAGAAAGGGACGCATTTTCTCCCCCCCAACATTGCACAGCCTTCTTAATAGTTCTAAATAATCTTCCTACGTATCCATTTTCATTCTCGGCGTTATCTCCCTCAACTTGTCTCTCTGCAAGCGAGAAACCCACCGCTCGACCATAACAATACCAATACACTCTCCACTGCGAAACGATGATGCCTTCCAGGCTGGCCCAAGATTCGAACTAAAACCACTTGTCCCATACAAATTGCAGTCATCCTGGTTCATTTGGCGCTCATTTAGCGGGGTCTCGCTCCTCGGATTGGAAGGTGCTGCATAACACTGGTGGAGGCCTCTCTTCTCTCGTAGATTTTGATTCGATTCCGTGCTTTCCGCCATGGTGTCGGACCCGGAGCACCTGCCCCAAACAAGTCATCGATCTTCCACCCCATCCACACCAGAGGGTACGACAGCTTGCCTAGTCCGGCCCTTGTAGGCGCCCTGTAGGGCAGAGGGCCCGTCCACACTGCTCCAGAAAATGATTTCATACCGTCCAGCGTTGTATTGGTGGTGGTTCTTCTTCTGAAACTCCAATGTCCGGTCTTAACTCAGCAGCCCGCTTGTCTGGGTGGTTGTTGCCGTACTGCGTAATCTCCGCAGGAAGGGCGTGTATTTAGTAGTAGGAGAACCCATAGTTGTCTTTTAGTTTGCATGGCCAAAAGCACGGTCAATCTAAAAGGGAGAGCAAAAATAAGGGTTTCATTTTGATCGGGCAATAACCGGTGAACTTGTCATCTGCCGGGCTCTCAACATCCTTTTTTTTCTCGTCTCGTGCGTTCTGAATAGACGATCATCGGAGATACGGAGCATAGCTCAGGGTACCACAGCCCGTTGAGGGTGGAGAAGCGAGACGTATAACATCTTCACCGGTTGTGCGGTAGAGAATAACCGGCAGAATAAAACGGATTTGGCGGTTAAAAAGACACCAGGGACCAGAGGGGATGCTGGTCGTGATGAACAGAAGAGCATGGTGGTTCAACTCAAGGGGAAAATGAGTGTGATTTTATCTACCACATGAACTGGTATCATTAGCCGCCCTTTTATGGTGGGTTCCCAACTCTGGCAACAAGACTCTTTTAAGTAGTCATGGCTGCCTGAGTGATTTCAGATATGGGTTTTCTGACGACCTCCATTTACAGCTCCTATACTACTACTATTTTCCAGATATGCTCTCCGTTTGGGGTTGTTGGGTTGTTACTATGCCGCATAATTGGGAGACTTTCACTAATTATTGAGAGCGACCGCTCAACTAGGAGTCACTAACCATTTATTGCCTAGTTGGCCTTTTGAACTCGGTGTGGTTATTGCTAGATTACGTCAGGGTCCAGTGACCGGCCGAAGCAGGTGACCAGCAGAAGACTTTCTGCTGACTCACCATGACGCTGCCTGAGGCTGCAAGAGCAAACATCGCAAACAGACGAGGCGCCCGCTTCTCGCTAAAGCTGGCTGGTCGTCACCTTCACCGTCCATCACTCGTTGCTGGAGGATCACATCTGCCAAACCTCTCGTGATTCCCATCTTCTTTTCATCCCATTCTCCGCTGTCTCGTGCTCTACTTCGGTATCTTGCACCTCTACTCTCTCCTTTTCACCGTCTACCAAACCAACCACCGTCTTTCCCAATCCCCTTATCTCCATCAGATCGCCTACTATGACTTCTGAGGTATGTTATTCCACCCCCTCAGCCTGACCCCTCTCTCTGCTCTGGCGGCTTCACCTGGCGTCCGTCCAGTTGTAGCCGTTTAATTCCTAGCCGCATGTATTCCTATGGCTGGGAATTCTCTTGTGCTCTCTCAGTCGTTGTGTCGCGATTAGTCTGGACTCAGCTAACTGTTCTCCCCCCTTTACTTGCAGCGTGAGAAGTAAGGATCCAGACCCGTCTCGACCAGTGACCGACAACAGCAACACTGACACTTCACCCTTCTGCAGCAAGACGTTCCTCGCCCGGCTCTGTGAGCAGGCTGAGCGCTACGATGGTAAGATGCCTGTTTACTGCTCTGCCATGTTGGCTTCACATGCTGATCCCTACCGCCTATAGAGATGGTCACGTACATGAAGGTCAGTAGCCGCCTGTCAGCCCCTGGGCTCTCAACAAGCATAATCGCTAACTATTGTACAGGAAGTCGCCAACGTATGACCCCCTTACCTCCCTCTGACGAGAAGCCCCCCCTTTTCCCCGTAACCCCCTTTTACTCGTGGGTCAAGCTGACCCCGCATCAGATTGGAGGCGAGCTTTCCGTCGATGAGCGTAACCTTCTCTCCGTTGCTTACAAGAACGTGGTCGGTACCCGCCGTGCCTCGTGGCGTATTATCTCCTCCATTGAGCAGAAGGAGGAGTCCAAGGGCTCTGAGCAGCACGTTTCGATCATCCGTGACTACCGCCAGAAGATCGAGACCGAGCTCGAGAAGGTCTGCCAGGATGTCCTCGATGTTCTCGATGAGTCCCTCATCCCCAAGGCCGAGACTGGCGAGTCCAAGGTCTTCTACTACAAGATGTGAGTCTTGGTTCTCAGGGGGAAAGAGCATTTACTGGCAAGTAGTAAAAGGGCAGAGGCTGACTGTTGTACGAACTGTAGGAAGGGTGACTACCACCGCTACCTCGCTGAGTTTGCCTCTGGCAACAAGCGCAAGGTTGCTGCCACTGCTGCCCACGAGGCTTACAAGGTGGGCTCTTCAAGTTGCGTGCTATATCGGAGGACTCGCACTAACGACCGTGACAGAATGCTACCGATGTCGCCCAGACCGATCTTACTCCTACCCACCCCATCCGCCTTGGTCTCGCCCTGAACTTCTCCGTCTTCTACTACGAGATCCTGAACTCCCCCGATCGTGCCTGCCACCTTGCCAAGCAGGCGTTCGATGACGCCATTGCGGAGCTCGACTCGCTTTCGGAGGAGAGCTACCGTGATAGCACCCTGATCATGCAGCTCCTGCGTGACAACCTTACTCTGTGGACCTCTTCTGATGGCAACGAGCCCGAGGGCGCTGCCCCCAAGGAGGACAAGCCCGAGGAGGAGACCGCCGCCGCCCCCGAGGACAAGGCTGAGGAGCCCAAGCCTGCTGCCCCTGAGTCCTAGATGGGTGGTGTGTGTTCTTGTGTATCAAAAACAGTTGTGTCCCCGACGTGCCAGTTCAGGTGTGCGAATACTACCCGGAAACGCTTATGAAGGTCTGCTTTTAGCTGTGCGAAGGGTCTGGACCGGCACATATCTTCCACTTGTTCGGGATCCTGTGGGTCGGCCGGCGGAGTTTGATGTTTGGAGAGCGAAGAAAAGGGGCTGAGTGGAATTTACCTCTCTTTTATTCTCTCTTTATTCACCCCCAGCAAGATACAGTGTCTTATTTCAACTTTTTTATTCACCCCACGCCCCTTTTCCCGATTTCCCCCCTGCTGTTTCGCTCGTACGTGTTAAGAGCCTTAAGCTTTACAATATCTCAAATCAAAGTAACCAGTTCTCTCAATCCCAAGAAGACCCTGCCGGGAATCAATTAATTATCAAACGACTCTTAGATTTTGTGTACTTCTATGAGCCGCGATCCCATACTGCTCCCATAGAAGTCTTTAGCGTCAGCCTGATAAATAACCGCCTTACACACTACCAAATACCCACTGCCCGTGCAGAACATTTTCTACCTCACCACCTCCCAGTACTCGTTTAACACTACGTATAGGTTAAACACTTTAAAAAGTTAAGGACTTAGGCAGGTAGTAAGCGAACAACTGCGGCAGCTTCTATACTAGCTGAAGACATAAATGCTAGTACCAACGGAAATGTACGGAAGAGATGAACCATGCTCTATAAACCGGAGGTAGGAAGCGGGACAGCGAAAGACGACCGAGGGGGGAGGGAATAAAAGAATACTTTATATGACGGATATACAAAACAGATGATGACCAACGGACATGATTTTATGATGCATGCCAGGGCGCAGGCCGGTCTAGCAAAGATATAGTGGATAACTGGGGAGAAGAAAAAAGAAGAAACCGAGAAATCTGAAGCAAATGAAGCAAGAGTGTTAAGGGGATCGGTGGTGAGAAGAAGAAAAGGAAATATAAAATATTCTAAATAACAAAATCACATGAAGTCATCGTCATCCAACCCATCATCATCATAAGAGTTGGTTTCAATCTTGTTCTCTCTAGAGGTGACCAGAGAGACCTTGGTCTTGGCCGCCTTGGTCTTCTTGTTACCCTTATCGGCAGCACGCTCCTCCTTCATCTTCTCATTGCTGAGAGTAGTCAGCGAGGAAGCGATCTTTTTGACATCACCGCTGGGCAGGTCCTTGACGAGCTGCTTGATGAAGTCCTGCGCCCACAGAGCATACTGGGGCTTCTTCGACTGGGTCGTCAACAGAGGGATAAGGGTGGTCGTAACGCGGGTGAACTGGTCCTTGGTGGCGGGCTTGAAGAGAGGCATAGCCGACAGATCGACGGCCTGGGTCGGGTCGGTCCCGTCACTGATGACAACGGCCTTGGGGGCGCTGCGGTTGCGCATACGGTTCAGGTCGATGTCGCCGAACAGGTCCTCGGCGTGCTTAAGGTCAGCGTCCTTCTCCGTCTTGCGGAGACGGGCTCTCCGCTCGGCCTCGTCCTCGTCGCTGTCGTCCGAATCCTCAGCATCGGCATCTGCCTTCCGCTGGGCCTTCTTTTCCTGTATCCGCTGTGCCTTGCTCTTCTTGTTGGCGGCGGCTTCGGCTTCCGCCTTAGCCTTGGCCTCCGCTGCCTTGGCGGCCTTCTCACGCTCTACTTCGGAATCTTCGGCGGCGTCCCAGGAGTCGAGGACCTAGTTCATTCGGTCAGATCGTGGACGGGGGAAAAAATGATGGGGGGGGGGGGCGCGAGTTTTCAGCGACTGAGGCCAAGAGAAACAGCGCGGGGCAAATTGTGAGGCAAAAATGGAAAAGGAGGGGGGAGGGGCGGCAAAAACTCACATCTTCCTCTTCCTCGTCGTCGAACTTGCGGCGGGCAACCACAGGAGGGGGAGAGACACTCTCTTCTTCGTCATCTGAAAGAAGCCGTCAGTATCGTGAATGATTCGCCATGTTGTCCCGCAATGTATGTCCCTATTGCGGGCGAGGGCCACAAAAATCTCCAAAAGAGGACATACCCCACTTTGAAGGAGCCATGGCGGGCAAAAGTCGTCAAGTTTGGGGCGAAAATGACAAGCTGGAGAGTGAGTTGCGTGGCTGGCAGTAAAGCCGGTGATAAGCGTAAGTCGCACGCAGAGGAACTGGTGTCGTTAACAGGTACTGCTGAAGGAGGGAATTTGTTTGAACGACCGAGTGGCTGATCCCGTGGGGCATGCGGCGTGGTCACGTGCACTCGGGATTGCCCGTGATGCCCAATCTTACTCACTACTTACTTGTCTCTACATTGAACATGCGAAAACAATAGGGAATTTCTATATTGAAGGGTGAAAAATAATAAATTTTTTCATTATGTGCCACTAAATTCAATTATTTGGCCTTTGAATTCGTCATCATAAATCTTAATCATCTCTGATGTTTTCGCCGCCTAGTTTCATCCAAACGATGCTGTTCTGCAGCTGCTCGGAAAGGCTAGTGAGGACCGCTAGGGCCTTGCACTGGTGACATTATACGGGAAATGGCTGCATTTACAAGTTAACGGCGGTGCGGAACTTCTCGCCGGCGTAGACGGCGTTGTCACCGAGCTCCTCCTCGATACGGAGGATCTGGTTCAGCTTAGCCAGACGCTCGGAACGGGCAGGAGCACCGGTCTTGATCTGGCCAGAGCGGAGACCGACAGCAATGTCGGCAATGGTGACATCCTCGGTCTCACCGGAGCGGTGGGACACCATGACACCCCAGTTGTCAGCGTAGGAGTCCTTGGCAGCCTGGATGGACTCGGTCAAGGTACCGATCTGGTTGACCTTGAGCAGGAGAGCGTTGCAGGACTTGAGCTCGATGGCCTTCTTGATACGCAGGGGGTTGGTGACAGTCAAGTCATCACTATAAAATAATCAGTTAGCCACAAACAACCCTAATCGAGAAGTTGCATCGAGCAGTACGTACCCAACAATCTGGAAGTCAGAGGTCTTGTAGAAGTAGCTCCAGGCCTCCCAGTCGTCCTCAGCGAAGGGGTCCTCAATGCTGACAATGGGGTACTTGCTGGCAAGGGACTTGTAGAGGTCGGCCAGCTGCTCGTAGGTGAGCCACTTGGAGGAGTCGCTCTCGGGGTTCTTGAAGTCAAGGTCGTACTTCTTGACGTCGGCCTTGTAGAACTCGCTGGAGGCAACGTCCATGGCAATGCTGATCTTGCCAGTGTAACCGGCCTGCTCGATGGACTCGGTGATCAGGTCAAGAGCCTCCTCGGCAGTCTGAATGTCGGGGGCGACACCACCCTCGTCACCAACGTTGCCAGCGGACTGGCCGTACTTCTTCTTGGCGAGAGCCTTGAGCTTCTGGTAGACCTCAGCACCCTGGCGGAGACCCTCAGAGAAGGAAGAGGCAGTGCTTCACGATTGTTAGTTAAAAAGGAACTACCTGTTGAGGTGTGGCATGATGGCGGTAACTTACTTGGGGACGATCATGAACTCCTGGAAAGCCAGGCGGCCACCAGCGTGGGAACCGCCATTCAGGACGTTCTGGAAGGGAACAGGGAGGACGTAGGGCTTCTTGGTGCCAGCAAGGTCGGAGATGTGAGCGTAGAGAGGGATGCCCTTCTCAGCAGCACCGGCCTTGGCGATGGCCAGACTGACACCAAGGATGGCGTTGGCACCGAGGTTGGACTTGTTGGCAGTGCCATCGAGCTTGTTGAGGAACTCATCAACCTTGGACTGGTCCTTAACATCGAGGTTCTCCTTGATGACGGCGGGGGCAATGGTCTCGTTGACGTTCTGGACGGCCTTCAGGACACCTGGATCAAGCAGTTGTTGTCAGCTGGGTTGAACTAATTACAACAAGTATACAGAGAGAAGGATGCTCTAAACTTACCCTTGCCACCCCACATGGTCTTGTCACCATCGCGGAGCTCGTGGGCCTCGTGCTGGCCTGGAATTGACTGTCAGCATGTCAAATGTAGAGCTAGAGGACAACAAGGTCCTTGATTGCCTGTTGACTACTGACCAGTGGAAGCACCAGAGGGGACAATAGCACGGTGAAGGCCAGTCTCGGTGACAACGTCAACCTCGACGGTGGGGTTACCGCGGGAGTCGTAGACGGAGCGGGCGTGGATCTTGGAGATAGGCATGTTGATGGACTGGAGGGGGATGAGTTATGGATCAGTGAAACTGGGAGAAAACAAAGATGGCAAAGGGAGAACATGGCCCAGATATAGGAAAAAACGGAGGAGGCAAAAATGTAAGCGCTCCGGACTTGCTGTTTCGGTGTGCACTAGCAGCAGCGGGGGGGAAGGTGGTGAGTGTTCACCGAGGACCCAAAAAGAATGAGCGGATGGCGGATGAGTGACGGAGAAGGGAAGGACGGGGGGGGAATTAGAGGTGGAGAGGTCCGATCCATCAAATAGACCAGGCTCGGCACAGCCAAGTTTCCCAAATGATCAACTAATCAATGGGACTTGGTGCTAAATCCGGAGATGCCAGATCATTGATAGACAGACAGGATGGAGTGATGGCATATAGACAGGAGGATGGATGGATGGATAGATGGAGGGGTCAAGCACAACATGGTGGGATGATGGCGGGGTCATGACTAGCAGCTAAGAGGAAGAAGAGGAGGATGAAATGGACAGAGAAAGATGGGAGGGGTGATAAAATGAGTATATGGGACAAGTCATACTTACAGGACCTTGAAGATGGTGGTTGTACTATCTAAGAAAGGCTTTTTTTGAGAGTACTCTTAACACAAGAGGAGGAGGGAGGAGGGGGAAGTAGTAGATAAATAATAAACACGACCACAGACTTGCTACAGGCTACTTCTTGTAAGCTCGAGCCAAAAACTCCCCCAAAGGCGTGCCCCGGGAAAGCTCACGGTCTCGTCCTCCGAATCTTTCCAAGGGAATGGTGGGGCAGCCAGCATCTGTCGCTGCTCTCGCTGGCTGAAGCTGCTTCGACTGCTACCCTCCCCAGCGAGATCTTCCGCATTCCCTCGGGGTAAGGCGGGTGTTGCTACTCAGGACGGGGTTGACGATGCTCCATGGCTCCTCTTTCCATGTCTTCTTCCCGGCCTGGGCCACGGCTAAAGCTGGTATGACAGTAATGATGCTTCTGATACAGATCGCAGATGCATCCTGCCACCTGTAAGTAGGCGCAGTTAACCCCTCCTTTCCACACAACTCAATCCGCACCTACCCCTCCATCAGTAAGTAGCCCCAACTTTCTGTAAAGCGTCCAGGACCAATTGAATGGGTCAATGTACTACCAATCATATCAATTATGATCTATCTCATACGTTGAGAGAGCATCCTCCAGATGCCCCTCAATGGGTGGGAAACCCATCAGCACGCTTTCTTGTCTGGAAACTTCCATTGCGTAATGACGAAAATGCCCGCGGTCACGAAACAGACACCTGGGTGCCTGAAAAACAACAAGCCGGATAATAGATACTGCGGTTAGTGATAAGTTTGTTGCCTTGTCGCCTCGTAGCCCAACTATTCAGGCATACATGAATGATTATGTCATTGTCAATGAGCCAGCGTCATGTGATCACAATGAGCTGGTGGCTGCTGTGAGCTCCTCGACAGCTCGCCGAGCTGGATGCAGTAAGATCCCAAGTACCGTCAACCGGCCTATCCCTTATCAATCCATCTGCATATTCACCCTTTCGGGTCATTAACCTGTTTTTCTGAGACCCCGGGGATCTCGTTTCGACTTCGCTTTGCTTTTTGGTCTCCCTGATTGCCTTACATCATGAACGGCGCCAGCGATCCGGAGAGAGAGCAGGCGCTCGAGGATTACAAGAGGAGCCTGCTCGAGCTCCGAGAATGGGAAGCCAAGCTCAAGTCTCTTCGCATGGGGATCAAGGATTTGCAACGAGAGTTCGATATCTCTGAAGAGAACATCAAGGCGCTGCAAAGCGTCGGCCAGATCATCGGAGAAGTGTTGAAGCAGCTGGATGAGGAGAGATGTATGTTCATCCCTATTTCTCCCCAATATAACCTCGACTCCGGGCAGATCCTTGTCCATCGTCTGTCGTTCTCTTTGCCGGTATGTGGCTGACCTGATCCAGTCATTGTCAAGGCATCATCCGGACCGCGTTATGTCGTCGGTTGCCGCTCGAAGGTCGATAAGGCAAAGCTAAAGCAGGGCACCCGTGTCGCCCTCGATATGACCACACTTACTATAATGAGAATGCTCCCGAGAGAGGTTGATCCGTTGGTATACAACATGTCACTGGAGGACCCAGGCCAGATCAACTTTGCAGGCATTGGTGGTCTGAACGAACAGATCCGCGAGCTCCGAGAAGTTATCGAGTTGCCGCTCAAGAACCCCGAGCTTTTCCAAAGAGTAGGAATCAAGCCGCCCAAGGGTGTGCTCCTCTACGGTCCTCCGGGTACCGGAAAGACGTTGTTGGCACGAGCAGTGGCAAGCTCAATGGAGACCAACTTCCTGAAAGGTATACATAATCAACTCCGGGCGCGGGCTTAGGTAGGCCTAGATCGCTAACTTCATCCTAGTTGTCTCGTCCGCTATTGTCGACAAATACATCGGTGAATCTGCGCGGTTAATAAGAGAGATGTTCGGATACGCCAAAGAACACGAGCCTTGCATCATCTTCATGGACGAAATCGACGCTATCGGTGGAAGACGTTTCTCAGAGGGTACTTCGGCTGATCGGGAAATCCAGCGTACATTGATGGAGCTTCTCAACCAGCTGGATGGTTTTGATTACCTTGGAAAGACGAAGATCATCATGGCCACGAATCGGCCTGATACGCTTGACCCGGCTCTGCTGCGAGCGGGTCGTCTCGACCGCAAGATCGAGATTCCCCTGCCCAACGAAGTCGGTCGCTTGGAGATCTTGAAGATCCACTCCAGCACCGTTCAACTGGATGGCGAGATTGACTTCGAGAGTGTGGTGAAGATGAGTGACGGACTCAACGGTGCTGATCTTCGCAACGTCGTTACGGAAGCGTATGTCTATTTCCCGTTGTTGCTCTGCCATTTTTATTACATGACTAGGACTAATTCGGAGACAGTGGTCTATTTGCTATCAAGGATTACCGGGACGCGATCAACCAGGATGACTTCAACAGAGCGGTCCGCAAGGTGGCTGAGGCGAAGAAGCTGGAGGGCAAGCTGGAATACCAGAAGTTGTAGTGCCCGCTTGATTGAATACCTGAGAATTAGCCATGATGTAGAAAGCTATTATTTCCAACTTATGGGAAGCCCACCCCCAATCTACTTATGCTCATATAATGTACACAATCCATGCATTGATAATGCCGTGCAGTTTGCAGCTTTGTACTCCGGTTAGTAGAATTAAGTGGTAGCCCAGATCATCACATGGGGGAATTACCCCACAGACTAGGCAAAGAAGGTGCATGGACCCGAGCATTGGACCCTGACCGGGTAAACATAATGTTCTGCCATGCGTTGAAACTGACGATCGAGCTTAAGTACTAGTATTGATGATAATGATGGCTGCTGCTGCTTCTCCAGGAACAGTGAATGCCGTCCGTTTACCGCCAAGGCCGCGACCAAGGATCGGCATCCATGCGCTGAGGACAAGTTGAGCTAGGCGCCACATGGGTTTTACACGCGTCCATCGGAATGGCTGCCCTCACTTTTATGTAATGCTCGAATCAGTTCCCTAGGCGCCGAAACATCTCCTCAGAGTAGTTGACACCTGTTCAGTATCTTTCTGTCCGGGAACCATCGATGGCCCATTAGTGTGTGCATCGGGAGACGTCCGCGGAGATCAACAGACCCAACTTGCGACCGAGTCATCCAAATCGCAGACGTTGGATGTTTGGTTCGATTGGGGGCTGCTAACTTTATCGGTAATATTGCCATCTACTCTGAGATCTCACTACCACTGCAGTAATTCACAGTGCTTCTTTGGCTAACCGTTGAATGGCCCCTCCTTTTTCCTTACTAGATATAACCGTTCGCCCCGTTATAGTCCTGCCGCCGCAATACCGACTACTACTTTTGGGGCTTACCCCAGACTACCTACCTATACGAACGAACGGAGTATCCTGTAACCACTTCGAGGCGCAGAGCGACGTCCTTGCCTGAGCACCAGCTTCAATCAGAGACAAGACACATTGTACCTATGCGAATAAATCCGACAAGCTACCTATTCTCTCGGACTTAGAGCGCGTCGGAGGTGTGGTCCTCCCTCGGTAGAGGACAGATATAGTAGTAGAAGCTTGGCGGTGGTGGTCATGTCTTTCCAGGCCCCTCGGAACAGTTCTCCATTTTCGTCTCAGCAACCGTTCCAGAATAACTACTGGCGTGCTAGTCGAAGCCCTGGGACCAACGGGCTGCCTGGCTATGGGTTTTCGCCACCGACTGGTATCTCCAACTCCCTGAACAATCCCCTCGCCGGCGACCGCACTCTCCCCATGTACAAGGACAAACCTTACTTCGCACCACGACGCACCGGTCCGAGAGCCAGGCGGCGGAAGATCATATATAGTGGGCTATGTCTGTTCGTCCTGCTCGCTCTGTGGTACTACTCTGGCTCTGGTAAGCCGGAATGGAAGACACCGGACGCGGAGAAGGGCGCCGAGCTCTGGAAGTGGGTGCAAAGTTTTGAGGAGTCGGAACCACCATACGATGGCAGCGCAGCGACAGAGAAGATTGACTGGGAAGCAAGGAGGGAGAAAGTGCGCGACGTCTTCATTGTCAGTTGGGATGGTTATGCGGCTAATGCGTGGGGTGAGTTTCTGGCTGGAATTAACCTCTTGATTCTTGGATGTGGTGACTGACAATGGCTTTGTCTGCCGGTGATTAGGTTACGATGAATACCACCCAATTGCCAAAAACGGTCGGCACATGATTGAAGGAGGAATGGGGTGGATAATTGTTGATGCGCTGGACACTTTGATGATTATGAACCTGACGTCGCGAGTGCAACATGCCCGCAGCTGGATCCACAACTCGTTGCAATACAACCAGGACCACGATGTGAATACCTTCGAGACTACCATTCGCATGCTGGGAGGCTTACTCTCCGCACACTATCTCTCCACGAACTATCCCGAGCTAGCTCCGCTTACGGATGACGATACAGGCGCGCCGGGAGAAGACTTGTATATCGAGAAGGCCACCGATCTGGCAGATCGTCTATTGGGTGCTTTTGAATCCGGCACTGGAATCCCGTATGCAAGCATCAATTTGAACAAATCCGAGGGCCTTCCCTCGTACGCGGATAATGGCGCCTCATCTACTGCCGAAGCCACTACTCTCCAGCTGGAGTTCAAGTACTTGGCCAAACTGACGGGCGAGGCCGAGTACTGGCAGGCTGTGGAGAAGGTTATGGAGGTCGTGGACGACCAGAAGATGGAAGACGGATTGCTTCCGATCTACGTATATCCAGAGACCGGCGAATTTAAAGGCGATAACATCCGTCTCGGCAGTAGAGGCGATTCATACTATGGTATACATGATGGCTTTGTGCGTGAATATTCAATGCGCTGACCGATGTTTCCTAGAATACCTCATCAAGCAGTACCTTCAAACGCAAGAGACTGAACCGATCTACAAGGACATGTGGGATGAGTCCCTCGTCGGCGTGCGCAAGCACCTGATCACCTATACACAGAACGCCAAGTTGACCGTTCTGGGCGAACGCCCTGCCGGGCTGCATGGAGTCCTTTCCCCCAAGATGGACCACCTAGTCTGCTTCTACCCCGGCACCATCGCTCTCGCAGCAACTGGCGGACGTCCTCTGTCCGAGGCAAGACAGTCACCCGATTGGGGCCAACGCCAGGAGGAAGAGATTCTTCTAGCCCGAGAACTAACCAAGACCTGCTGGGCAACGTATCTAATCACGAAGACCGGCCTCGCACCAGAGATCACCTACTTCAATGTCGACGACCCTCGCGTCATGGAAACAGACATGTACCCAGACTCGACCATTGCCAAACCCAGCTCAGGCCAGCAAAAAGCCTCTGGCGAACTCCCCCTCCTCTCCAAATCCATCTACCCCGTCAGCGACTACTCCACCAAATGGCGCGACGACCTCAACATCCACAAACAAGACCGCCACAACCTCCAACGCCCAGAGACCGTCGAATCCCTCTTCTACATGTATCGCATCACCGGAGACGACATCTACCGACACTGGGGCTGGGAGATGTTCAAGTCTTTTGTCAAGCATACTGCCGTGGTCGAGGACATCCCTGTCGATGAACTCAGCAAAGAAGACGCGTCCAGCTCAACATCATCATCGGAGGAAGAAGACGGCGGAACTCAGAAGCCAAAACCTCAGAAAATCACGGGCTTCACCTCGCTCTCAAACGCTGATGACAACCCTCCAGTGAAGCGCGACAACATGGAGAGTTTCTGGATGGCCGAGACGCTTAAATACTTCTACTTGCTATTCTCGGACCGCGACTTTATCTCTCTCGAAGACCATGTATTCAATACGGAGGCGCATCCTCTCCCGCGGTTCAAGCCAACGGGCGAGTTGAAGACCGGGTGGATGAGGAAGAGTCGGACGATACCAACATCCAGTGAGGTGGAGGAGTCGGTATAATTTCTTTGACTATCTATTTTTTTTCTTATGCTTTTATATATCTCTCTCTTGGACTACGTCTCCTTAGATCCCTCTAACAAAAAAGAAAGATATCTCGAATTGATTGATCATCTCTTGATTTTGTTTGTTTGATGCTTGCTTATATGTACTGCTATATATTGCTCCTGCATTCTGGCTGGTTACATCCAAGGCAGGGACTTGGGTTTATTATCTACTTTGTTCTACATCTGGCATTGCTACTAGTGTTACAACAACTAGGTTCTGTTGCTCGCTTGGCTTCGGGCTTGGACGTCTGTCTGTACGATAGATTCTCTTGGTACATACATTAACTTCCCCGCGGGTGTATATATTCTATATACAGAATACATACTACTAGTAGTCAGCCGAAGAGAAACAATCATTATCGTTTCCTCGTTATATATACACGTCGTGGCTAGTAGCCAGCCGGCTAATGGCTAGCTGGTCAGTTTTAAGTCCTGCGAGCCCGCTGCACAGCAGCCTCAATGAGCTGCTTATACCCACGGACTGCCTCCTCCAACTGTCCGACAGTGATAGCCTCATTGTCACCATGCGCGACATGGATACTACCGGGGCCATACAGGTAGCGCTTGACCCCCTCGGAGACCTTCAGGTTCGGCACATCCGTACCATAATTCACTGTGGTGACCTCAAATCCGGGGACGTCTGTATCCAGATCCTGAGGCGCATACCCACCAGCATACGCAGCAAAGTCACAATACACATGCTCGTCACCACCGGTGGCATTTCTCACCGCACGTGCAACAATCTCCCTCGCCTCGTCGGGCGTCCCCGCTGCCAAACGGATCGCCACCTCAGCGATCGCGGACGAGGGCACCACGTTGGCCGCGACGCCAGCATCCACGCGCCCGATGTTCACGGTCGTTTCACCGTATTTCTCGCTGGCGGGGAGCCCGCCCTCCGCTTCTGGGATCTTGCCTAGACGATCGACCCGCGATAAGGCGGGCAGGAGGGCGGAGATGGCGCTACTACCGAGCCAGGGGTACCCTGAGTGAGCGGCTTGGCCGGTTGCGATGATGGGGAACTCCAGCATGCCTTTGTGGCCGGCGACGAGGGCCTGCTCGGTGGGTTCGCCGAAGATGACGGTGTGGTAGGGGGACGGGGAGGGGTTGAGAGTGGAGTTGTCGGAGAAGGTGCGCATGCCGAGGCCACCGACTTCTTCATCGACAACAAACAGGAGGCCTAGGCTGGCGGTTGGGTTGGACTCGAGGGTGTCGAGGACGGCGAAGATCTGGGCGGCGACGCTGGCTTTGGCGTCTACGGTGCCGCGGCCGGAGATGAGAATGTTGGAGTTGTTGTTTGCGTCATCATGGAGCCCATAGGGGATGAAGGGGGGTACGGTATCGATGTGGCTGGTCAAGAGGATGTCAGGGCGGCCTTGGGAAGGCGAGGTGGATGGATAGGCGAAGATGTTGAAGCGGTTGGGGTCGCCGTTGGAGGATGACGGGACGGGCTGCTTGATCACGGTGAAGTTGTGCGATTCGAGAAATTCCGCCACAAAGGTGCCTACGGCCGTCTCGTTACCGGAGATGGAGGGGATCTGGACGATGTCGCGGTGGAATGAGAGGAAAGGAGAGGCGTCAATGATGTCGGACGCGGTGGAGGCGAGGGACAAGAGGGTTTGCGGGGAGGCAGCCGAGGCTACGCCGACGGCCGCGAGAAGAGAGATGGGGGATTTCATGGTTCTAAGTGGCTAAGGGTGAGTGGGAAAGGGCAGAGGCATTCCCTAGATGAAGGATGGAGGTCAATTGGCTGATGCGAGGGAGACTGTTGAGGGGGATCGAAAATTAGGGGAAATATGGTTTGTGATGCTGGGATGAGGATTCAATGGAATCGCGAATTGGAGATAAGCAAGTACTGCCTGAGGATACAGGCAGCATTCAGGCAAGAGGTGAGTCAGTCGGTCTGGACCTGCCTAATTGGGAATTAGTGCATGGTCACGCCATTTACTTTCTAGATAATCTACAAGTACGATGGATCGTTGTATAGATCACCAGCTTGATGCAGAGTATGCGCTACGACGCATATACACAGTAGTACTCCGTACTTTCACTTGGTACTCTGCCGATACACAGAAGAGCATTGAGTGGTCCTGCTTGGACTGGTGGTCCACCAACATCATGATGTAGAATCAACTGGAAATAGCAACGATCCGCTCAATTAAGTTCAGCAGTCGGCCGACTCGTCAAGAATACCGAAATCTCATCGAGAATCGTCCCCAGCGTGGCGAAATGACGTCCCTGGAATCCTCTTCTTCTACAGTGTACGGAATACAATTATACAGCATGTTTTTGTCCGATCGCCATCGTGTATCGCGAGCATGAGATACTGAGGATTAGAACAGGCGGCAACTACAAAACATACCGACCGTCATTGCCGGCCATCAACAGAGATTCCCAGGAAGCGTAGCGCCAAGATCCCTTACCGTTGGAGTTTTCCGCGGAACAGCGCCGGACTTCCACCCGCTCGAATAGCATTCTTGATGCGGTCGAGCTGGACTGAACCAAGGAAAAAAACCATCAGAGTTGAGGGAGGCAAGGTTCCGGTCGGTTGGCGCTGAAGCCATGTGGATCTGACGTCGGCACCAGATCTTTGAATGCTCACACAAATGAATATCAACAATCAGAAGGCAAGTTGAGGGATCCCATTTCTGTTCTCCTCATCCCCACCGCTGACCTGGGTCTCACTTTATACTGTATAGTGTTTAGTTTACTAGTTGATAAAGAAACAATAGTCATAATAACAGGAAGGTAGCCAATATTGTCATCATCAGAACTGGGGGCGCGGTCCAGTACCCAAGCAGTGCCACGGCGAGATTCTCAATGTCTTGCGTTCCCTCACGCATTGAAGCACAACAGCTCCGGCCACTGCAAACTATTCATTCCCACACCCCCTGCTGTCTTCCCTCCCTTTTTATTCCAACCTGCTGTTCCGTCGGGACTGGTCCGATGTCAAATCTATAGTGTGAGAAGTGACGGTTGATAGGTCGTCGTACTTTCGGGGACTCTACCTTGGTCCCTGAAGGGGTATGACGACGGGGATTGAGGGGTCGCACAGCGCGTTCACAAAGCAGTAGAGGAATGGAGCTCTGTCTATCCGATGGGGGGATGCATCTGTGTTGGACCAGTCGAGTCGGTCAGAGTCTAGACAACGTCCTCTCCAGTCCCCACTAGTCCCCTCTCCGAGTTCCCTTGTTCGTCCGGCTTCTCTGTCCGTCTCCATCCTCGCTTGCTGTGTTGGAGACGGCCGATGTGCAGCCGTTGAAACCTGTCTGAGGGAGGATTCAGACATCCATCACACACAACTGCGACTTGGATATCATCATCCGGCGCGTGTTTCTATTCGAACCATCCCAGTCGACTCTGTTGCCGAGCTGCTCACGGATTAGCACATACGAACACTAACTACTACTACTGCTACAACTTATCACTTTCCGGAGTAGCCATTCGACCGCGTGTCTTCTCCGACCCACGATGGCCACAGAAGCCCAAAGAACAATTGCGAGCCATGGCCACTGAGGCCCGATCCATGGTTTCCCAGCCACGCAGCGAAACGGAGCCCTCAGAAGCCTGTCTGAGTTAGTGTAAACCCGACGATCACCCTGACTGTGGTTCTGTGGTTCTGTGGTTTTAGCCTGTTGGTTCTGGTTTTCTCTCTCCAAAATCTTTTCCCTGTTTCCTTTCTTTTTTCTATTTTTTGCCCATCGACAGCCCTAAAACTGGCCTGTCAGATGGCTGGGTCGACAGGGAAAAATTGGGCCCAGTCAGCAGGCTAGATAGCTCCGATAGAAGGAGAATTAGTGACGATGGGCTAAGACTGCGATCCAATGGATCGACTGGGGCAACGTTCTAAAGGAAAAAAGGTCGACTGGATGCTGTCAAAAAAGAAAAAAACCGGGCCTCATTTGTCAAGTGTCACAAGAAGATTTTCATCGCATCGCGCCGTGTAGAATATTAGCTATCAATAATGAAGCAACATTCCTGACACACACACGCATTCTCTCTCCCTCCTCTTGCGCTGGGTCGTAGACATTGTTGTTATTGTTGCTATTTGCCTATACGTGCTTTGTCTGTGCTCCCAGATCTCTTTCATTCTCTCTCTCTCATCGCCTCCTCTTTTCGTCTTTTCTCCTCATCTTTCCCCTCTCCTCGCCCCCTCATCAGTTACTCGACTCTCTTCTCTTCTCTTGCTCTCTAGCACACACCATATCTTCTCATCCTTTCCGATTCCTAGATTCCTAATCGCCCTTTCTTCTCCCCTCCCCAAGCATTCCTCCAACATCCTCCCTTTCCTCCCTCCAACCTCCAACCATTCTCCCCCCCCTTGAGTCGGATCCTGTAACCTCACCGCAATCATCAGCCTCCGATTGACTGCGGCCCACTGTGCTGTCAGCCGCGTCCTTTGGGCTTCACGAACAATCCCGGCCAGTTGTTCGTTGACTGGGTGCTCCGACAGGCTCCACGTCTTTGTCTGCCCTACCAGCGCGAACGGATTCTCAGCGTCTCCTTCCTTCAGGCCGTACTTCTTCAATCCGGGCCAAGCCTGTCAGTCAATCAATCAATCTCAAGCAGTCAGCGTCAGTCAGGAAGCCAGTCAGTTGCGCTTTCTCTTTCTCCCCTCTATCCATCAGAGCCTGTCGCTGCTTCTGTTACTGCAAGGCAATCTCGCGATTCCACCGCCACGCCACCACGTCACAGACCAACCTCGTTCCTCGTGAACAATAAGGACGCTCTTCCCGGGCTCGTGGTGTCTCTTTGGTCCGATCGATCGTCCTTTTCTTTTTTTTCCCCATCCACTCTCTCTCTTTCTCGCTTCTTTGAACCGCCTTTTCTTGGTAGTTCAAACAAACAAAAGAAAAATACATCTCCCCGCCGGTCTGGGCAATCAATCGAACACCGGATGATGTTCCGTCCGCCTTCAAATTGACTCCGTTCTGTCCTCCCCTGCGTTTCGCGTTGTTCCTCCTCACGTCCGTTTCGCCCTGTTCCGGCACGTGAAGTGGAAGCCTCACCATCTGCGCGATCTTCAGTCACCGCCAGCCTGACTACCACGCCAGTAGTCTTGACTCGTCCATCATGTTAAAACCCGCTCAGTTTCTAGATACCAGACGGCGCGATAGTTTTGAAACCATGGCTGAGTCGTCCCCGTCATCTCGCCAGCCTCCGTCGCCCTGGACCACCAACTCCTCCACGCCTGTTTCACCCGCCGTGTCTCTCTTTTCTGCCAAGGGCCACACGCGGTTTTCCAGCTCGGTTTCGTCCCTGGTTTCATCCCCAGGACACGGGAACTCGATGGAGAGCTCGTCGCGGAATCCCTTGACAGGAGTGAAGGAAGAACCCTGTGGGTCTCAGCCCAGGGACCTCGAGGAGGATTATTTCCGTATGTTACTTTACTTGCCCTTGCTCCCAGCCCCCGTGCCTTTCCTTTTTCTCCTGCTTTATTCTCCGATGTTCGTCTACTCGTTCGCTAATTGACTTCTGCTCTACAGAACACTTTGACCAAGGCCTGTCGGTCGCCGAAGATTCATACTACGCATCTTTCGATGCTTCTGACAGCTACGATCTAACGGATGCCGGCATGGATCTTACACATTCGCCTAGGAATCGACGTTCCGACAGTATCTCCGCCCGGGGTCTTTCACGCATCGGCTCCCGAATCTCCACCATCTCCACTCGCTGGAAGTCCAAACGTGCCTCCGATGGCCTGGACGGTGCAGATGTATTCGCAACACAGCTGCGTTCCCGCACTAATTCAGCATCATCCGCCATAGCCAGTCCTACTACAGGTTCTTTCACTCGCGTCAACTCAATGCAGGTTCCTCCCTCACCTGCCAGGACTATCTTTGAGGAGGCCATTAGCGAGGCCGGCACGCAACCCATTGACATCAGCAAAGCCAACCGGTACAGCCAGGAAGAGGATTCGGCCCCTCAAGCAACGACTCCCCTACTGCCACCGTTCATGGGCGATGAACCATCCTACCAGACCGCGTCCCGCGTCCATTCTCCGTTACAATCCCCTTCAGTAGCCGACAACATGGTAGATGATGGCCCAGTTGTCTGCAGCGCTGTCGCAGATTTGCGGTTGGCAGACTTGCCCTCGCCACCCCTCTCGTCCAAGCCATCTGTCTCATCATTCAATCGTCCACGAGCCAGTACGGTACGGACGGTCTCGGGAGACGCGCCTCCATTCACGCTCTCCGACCCAAATGACGAATGGGCGAACAGACTCGGTCATGCCAACTTTACCATCCAACCGGAGCCTTATGTACCCGAGACCTGTGACCTGGGAGCGTTTGGACAGCTGCGCGCAGATTGGGACTTGGCTCAGTGCAACTTCATGCGGCATCTCGTCCGGACTGGTGAACATTATGGGGTTACTTCCACGATCTACAAGCTCACAGAGGAGAAATGGGAATCCATCAACCGCGAATGGCGCCGCCATCATGAGGCGATGCTGTCTGAGCTAGAGGTGACAGAAGGACCCCGTCTGAGTTTGATGAAGTTCCACTGTGACCCTTGTGACCCGGTCAAGATCCCACGCCTTCACGACGACAAGTTCCCCGAGCTGGGCGATGGCGAGATCGTGGGTCCTATGAAAATCGCCCCAGCAGCAAATGGATCCGGACTATGTCGCACCCGTTCGTTAAAACGCAACTTTGTCAAGTTCTTCCAGGATCTCGTTATACGGTCCTGATTCGACCGCCTTGACACGAACATGGAAACATTTAATGACCATAGACAGACTGCGGGAGGCTTACGATGTATACCATCTTACGACTTTTATTAACGCCTCTCGAACGATTGATTCAGCGAATGATGACTTATGCCTCTCCTATAGTATACATGTTTCGACGGATATGTTTTATCTTTTTCTTTTCCTGTTTCTGTTCATGATCTGTGATTGCATAATGATGACTGATGACCTGAGCACCTGCGACTACTGACTCGCAGAGTGCAGTCCGTTCCTTAATGTTTGATCTCTCTGCATATGTACCCCTCTTTCCCTGTTGTCGAAATACTTGTTCGCGCCAACATGTATTGATAGTGCTGTACACTGCCCAGCATCTCCTTTGTGTGTGTTCACTCTGCCGGCGATGCATTCCTTGCGTCATTGTCCTTGGCACAAAAATCAACCGTTGGGTTGCACCGTCGAATGATTGAAGAGGGGAGGTGTGTATGCGTGTGTTCTGTGTGGATGCAAAGACAGGGGAATGAGGGGAGCATAAAGCAGAAGAAGAATTACGATTGAAAGCAAAAGTGGCTGGGTTACCAAGCGAAAAGGGAAGCGAAACCATTGCAAGGGCGCTTCTGGTGTTCTGTTCTGTCTTATACCCCAAGGCATGGTTCTTCATTCATTTATCCTACTTGAAATTCTACGGCCCGCTGTTCCCTGATACATACTAGAACTGTTTTGCTGTCCCCTTGCACCAAAAAGCCCAAAAGCATACCTTCTATAGATATTTGCCTGTTCTCTGTTTGCGTTTCTGTACACTCAAGTGTGTGTATATATACCGATACTACTAGATACTACTTAACTAGACCTACATATAAATAACTACTACATCTTAGTACTACTCAGGTGATGCCTTCCAACGGATAATTATGGTTCCCGCCCTTGCTGCTCACATGCAATGCATATGCAGTGTACTTTTGTTCCCCCTCCTCAATGATACATGCAGTAGTAATAGTCACGGTTACTCAAACCCCCAAAGGGCCAGCCAGCCAGCCAGCCAGCCAGCCAGGGTCAGGTCATACCAGTCGCCTGACGCATGCGCGGGGTCGACCGTCTTTTCCCATCACCCCCCTCCTCCCTTTCGACAGCCACCCGAATCGAGTAACTCGTACCGCACATGTCGCCTAGACTAAGTACTGGCTTAGTTAGCTGGTGGCTAGCTAGCTAGTCTGGCAGATCGCTCGTTCGTCCATTGATATTGATTTTCTTCAGTCATGCATGCATTTTTCATTCCCGCTAGATACTGTAGATGGTTGGTAGAATGCCTAGAACAGGCTAGATCAGCCCTGTCTTTACATATGACTGACTACGTAGGCAGCAGCAGCAGGTAACTAGACTTATTTATGGGTAGAATTTGAATTGAGCTGTGTTCCCATGTTTGCTTTCATATGGGGCCATAAGGCATGAACCATGGTTGGTTGGTCGGTTGGTTGTTTGGATACTACTACACAGAGAGTTGTCTTTACACCCAGTACTGACCCCATAATCTTTTGGCGTTTTCGTCTCCTCGGAAGCGGAATTCCACGCGAATTATGTCCTGGAACCCTTCTTCCATTAAGGGTTCTTTGAATCGGCGGAGGAAATCTCCAAAGGCAATTCCGGGGAGAAGGGTGCGTGATTCGGGGTTCTATGATTCGATGGAGGTTAGTATTGAGTATGGTGTACATCGGTTGTTGTAATGGTGTATGTATGCATGTATGGGTATAGGTGTGTTTGATGATCCGATAACATGTCACGATACACGTGTGACCGTTGGGAAAGATGGTGCTATCACCACCACCTCCCTTCGAACAACTCGAAAAGGGAAATATGAGGACAGTCTATGGTTTTGGGTAGGAGGGAGGGGGTGGAAGGGGACAATGGGGATGCAGTGCACGCGCATCTTCATCTCGCACGGACTTACCAAGGTTTGATTTGCGGCACGGACCGCATTATTATGCCGGCAGAGGGCCGGGGAAGCTGTGAAATAGACACAGCGAATCGGGACGTTGAATTCCTTAGCGACTTCTACCCACTCGGATCTGGTTTCCGGGTCGGCATTGGTGTTGTCTGTGCGTTTGATCAGCGAAGAAATCTAATCGTTCGTGCATTTGCAAAGTCACTGTAGGTACTTGAAGGAGAAGCGGGGAGGGATGGATCGCAATATGGGCTAGGGTTGGTGTAGCCTGGCTAGACTCGAGCCCGAGAAATCGACATCGTAGACCGTCGAAGTGTCAATGCAAGGGTTGAGTGGGTTGGTCTCTTGGGGAAAAGGTTGCCCCGTTCCCAACGTTCACGTACCGACAACCACAGATCTACCGGCTGCAAGGTGTTCCTTCGCCACTTTGATGCATTTAGGGCGCTGTGGTGAGCGGTTGGTTAGCTGATAGATTATGCAATCTTGGTAGTACATAGATGTGGGTAGGTCGTTGAGGTGTATAGCTGCTGCGCGAGCGAAGCCACTGACACTTTTTGGGCTTGGCGTAGAAGGGTGTGTTGGAAGAAGGTAACCCGTATAAAGTTTGGTGGAGACAATAAAGAAGACGTACGGTCTTAAGAAGGTCTTGGTTGACTCGTTCGTATTTCAACGGTTCCAGGTATTCCCAGTAGAACGAGGATTTGCCCGCACCAGGGCTGCCGCAAAATATCACCAGCTCGAGGGGGCTCTGGCGAGAGAAAGGTGGCGCCACTGCATCATGCGAGACAAGTTGTCAATAGGGTATTCTGATGGTCGATTCGCAATCACCCCGAGCATGGAGACTCACCATCGTCGGTTGGCTCTGCTTGCAGGTAAATTGTCGGATCGAACGGTTCCACGAGGGGCTCGGGGTCAGCATTGAGGAAGAACTCCTCGGGCGTCTTGAAAGGTACTTTGATATTAAGAGCAAATCCGCTTGAACCGCCGTTAGCGTATGAAGTCCGTGGGTTGATTTCGAAAGGCCAGCCTTACCGGTCGACCATGGAATGGTCGTTTGGCCGTCCAGCAGCGTCCCCTACAAAAACGGACTCTGACAGATTGACTCCTGACACATCGAAGTCGTAGTCGTCCAGCATCTCTTTCCATAGACCTGTCCTGGGTTTCCTATATTCGTCATCTTCGGTGGCTGCATATACACTTAGTGGGATGTCCAGTTGCTTCATGACAGCCGACACCCTCTCCTTGAAGTTGACAAGGCTTTTAGAGTCGCTCTGGCCTTTCTTGAGATCTTTCTTGAGACTGATCTTCTTTTGATTCGTTACGACCACCACGTAGTATCTGCAAAGAAGAGAGATCAATATCCTGTTGTCCGGAAGCAGTCCGATCAAGGAACTATAAGCCAACCTACTACATACCCATTGTCGTTCAACTCCTTGAGCTTCCCAGGTATCGTATCATGCCACCACTTCCAGTCTGACCCATTCCTGGGGAACGTATTTCCAGAGGCTGTCGAGACGAGCGTTGAATCCTAGGTGCGATCACCTAGTCAGTCTCGAGCTCGCGTAATGATAAACCGTAAATTCGCCTAACGGTTTCGTTCTAAACTGACCAGGTCAAATGCTGCGATTCTGGGCTTCTCTGTACTATTCTTGTGACTCGAATCCGAAGTATACTTGCCAATGACCGCACTGTTGTTGACAATCCGCCAGGTGATCTGTTCGGGCTTTTTCTGAGATGTCGGGGTAAAGAAGGAGGAAACAGCCTTTTCTTAGGTTTATCAGTTTCATTAGTATAAAATAGAACGAGAACAGAATAGGTGTGTCTTACTAGTTATGGTAGACTCAACCTTCCTTTTGAGTGGAGGCGGCGATATAGCTCGAGTGGGGGAAGCTGTACGTTTCACGCCCCCACCGCCGGCCATCCTGAGATACTGGAGTCTGGAGATAATCTTGGATATGTCTGCCAGGTACTGTGGTCTTGATTGCAGCAAATGAGAAAGAATCTGCGACTAGATGGCTCGAACTGGTGTCGGGTTCAAAAGCGGAAGTCGACGCGCTGACGCGCGCCTTAAACTTCGCGAAGTCACATGCTTATATTGACGGCTCATTGAACCCATACAAAGATGGATGCTACAACTGCACCGCTGTCATCCAACTATGTGTATGCTTTCAGCTCAAGCTTGCTTTCTCTCTTGAGAAAAACAAAATTAAAATAAAAAATAAAAAAAAAGGACAAAAGAAACTTAACAATATTCACTTCGGCTCCTAATGACAGAATTTGAATTTCGAATGAGTTATCTACTGGGAGCCATCAACTCCGGGGTATATAGCACTGCTAAAAAGATATCATAATACATGATTACTTCGCTCGCGTATCCAGAGACAGCCGGTCCGCCATTTCTAGACGGACAGCCGACTTGAGCTGCTCGCGAAGCCCGAACAAATGCTGCGAAGCCGTCCTCATCATCTCCTGATTCCCGCCATCCTGGACGGTGATAGCAGCTTGCAGGACATAGCTCCCTGTCCGTTCCAGCGGTGAGAGCTCCTGATACGCAGGCAGCTGCCGACGAGGTCCATGTGATTCCTGCGCCCCAGTCGGGTAAAGCAGGACACGGTGTAGGAAGATAACGATGTCATTGAGAACAAAGACATCTCCTTCCACCACGTACTCAGTGACAAAGCTGAACCCAGTTTGTCAGCCGACTAGGACCAATCAAGATATGGAGGAGCTGATATAACACCGAATGGCATGGGAAGCTACTAACCTATAACCCCAGGCATTCATGGGCGCCGTGATATCACCTTTAGGCAGCGTGGCACTAGCCATCAGCCGAGCAGTTACCGCGGATCGAGTGCCTGCCTCGGGGATATCTCTAAATTCGAGTTTCCAGGGCTGATCCTCATAACTGTAAGAAGACGAAGATGACGATGGCTTCTCCTCCAATCCGGACATGGAGACATCTGGATCTCCCGACGAGGAAGGGTTCCCGCCAAAGTCGGCTTTGGCCACGGGACCGACTACTTGGGTATAGAACATGCCTCCATTGAGCATCTTATTAAGGCGCTGCAATTCGACACCCTGCAGATCTTGACTGGCCCCAACCCGGGTGTTGGTCAAGCCTGGCTTGCGGTAGGCCTTGAAAACCAAGCGTCTTTCCAGGCGGTGACGGGGTTGCATGGCCGTCAACCCGGCCAGCTGTTGAAGAAGCTCATGATGCTGGTGCGCGGGAACCGAGGCGAAGAGCAGAAGCTCATGCATAATCACAAGAAGAAGAACCGGGGTGGGAATCGAGACGAATAAGAATAGAAATCGGGGGTCGTTCAAGCCTGTCTGTAGCTCCCTTAGCTCCGGCCAGCTTGCTCAGGGAAAGACGGGAACACAATCAGGCAAATCAGGCAAAAAGCACGGGTGAAGTCGGGTCGGAGACTCCTTCCGAGTGTCCACTTATGTTCCGGCCGGTAAGTTATGCTGTTATGGTACGGTTACTGCCGGACGAGTCGATAATTCAGTAGTACGTAGTAAGTTAGTAACACAATAATGCCAATCCACTTTTGGCTGGCGGAAAACGCGTGGGGAGATAACAATCATGTGATATCACGCGATTGCAACTCCGAGCGAATAACCAGGGAATCGAATGTGAGCGGCAAATGCTAGAATGGCAAAGTTTGGGGGAAAAAAAGGAACAATAGTCATCATAGAGATATTAAGATTTAAACTTTATGAATTTTTTTTTTCCCTTTCCCTGTTCATCTTGATAAATGCTTAACTTGGGTGTTGAAAATTTCCCCTTTTGGACAGGCTAGTTGGGGTAGACTCTTTTCATCCGAGCAAATGCCAAGATGGGGGGAGGGGAAAGGAATTACTAGTGAAGTTGAGTTGCCCTCCTTCCCAGGGCTTGCGGGGGTCAGATCCCGAAAGGTAAAAAGTACAGTCTGACACACAGAGAGTGTGTGTGCATTGTGCATGTGTGAGGGGAATCACGCCAGACTACGGTGATGTTCTCCGCTCAGGTGATCTGAGATAAGAGAGATACAGAGTGAGTTACACCAACTGGAGCACAACGTCCTCCGGGGAATCCTACGAATGAGGGGAACGCGAAAAGAGACGTGCAGTGAAAGCGTCGGGACGAAAGGCGATTCGAGAGCAGCACCGATGCAGGTCCCCCAAACTCACTGGCCAGTCAGGCACGGGTCTTCCTTCACCGGGAATGCGGGTTTGGGCAAGGATCGGGGCCGTCGGGAGTATCATCAGGTGTCAATCATCCTAACACTAACAGTCTATCGGATTTGGGGAAAAGATGGGGAAAATGATGTCGTCGCTATCGAATTGGCGATGAGCAGCTAGTCAAAAGTTAGGTCTCTGATCATACCACAAGCAGCATAGACAAGACGTCCAAGGAATAGTAATCGTGCCAGATTGATGGATGGGAAGGCAAAAGTCCGGATCATAAAATCCGGCGGCGGGTTTCTCGTTAATAACCCGTATTACTCCATACCACCAAGCTTGCTTATCAAAACCCACACCCTCGCTTCCGCTCCGACCCTCGTCGGCATTTTCCTCTCCTCCTCCTCATTCATTCCTCTTCCCTTTCCCCTCCAGTCTTTCCAATTCCTCCTGCTCTTTTTCCTTCCTCCAGACAGCCTTCTGTACAGTCCTTGCCACTTTTCCTTTCCCCCCTCCAAGAATATATAGGCCTTCTGTGTCCTTGTCGTGGAGAATTGCCTGCCTTCCAAACTTCCTCTTCCACTTCCAACAAACAACTTATTAATCGCTTAATTCGGTCGCGTCGGACACCAGCGGTTTCTCTCGATTCCTCGCTCTCCATCCTCACGACTACCTTATAATCTATAACCCTCTACCTTCTTTCCTCCCATCATACAAAATGCGTGCCACTTTTGCTCTGCGCAGCGCTGCCCGCACCCCCCTCATCCGGTTCCTCGGCCGGCGTTCCGTGCCTCGTATGTATTCCAACCCCGTCAACTCTACGCGCCTGCTCCTTTTGTCTAACATGACCGTCTACAGAGTCCGTTGACCACACCCCCCGTCCTCACCCCGCTTCTCCTTCCGGAATCCTCCCGGACTCCTTCGCCGCCTACCGTATCAAGGCTCAGCAGCACGGCCCTCTTGGCCGTGCCTCTTTCTCTCAGGGCATTGGCCGCAGCTCTGGTGCCTCTCTGGGCCCCGTTCAGCCTAAGCAGGGTGAATTTTTCGACCGCGACGAGCTTCCTGCTCGCTTCCACCGTCTTCCTTGGTCCGAGGCTGAGATTGAGGCCATTGAGACCGGCGGTGCCAGCCTGTTCGCTTAGATCCTTCCGGATATCACTCAACGAGAGATGACGCAACGGTAGCGGTCACGGTTTGGTGATTGACGAAACACTATCGTGTTAAAATAGAGTACGACCATTGGCTTGGGGCCGTGGCAGCCGTTGTTCTCTCCAAATTCAACCATGGAGTAACAGGCGAGTTGTGGGGCCTGGTTCGTCTCGCATCATCGGAACTTGGATGGTACCGTAATCAGGGACTGGGAGCACCGTCGCATACTGGTGATGGGTCGTTTGTTGGCATTGTCCAACCAGGAGCTGCTTCCGTCCCTGCTCTTCTTCGATGGCTTCTTCATGTTTTTTTTTTCGGTCACGGCGCTGGTGGTTGCTTGTTTCGGAGCTTAGCGGTTTGGATTACTTGTACTTGGGGCGCGACACATGACGGATGCTTTCTTGTTGTCTGGCTGGGGCTTGCTGAGATATCTTCGGATTTCTGTGCATAGATGGTTGTTTCATTCGGATCCAAAAGTCTGCTGCATGTTGGACTATTCTCGTTTTACGGGGCCTTTTGAGTTCTTCCCTGAGGTTCATTAGTACTAAATACTGGGGCTCGAGGAGACCATGAATACAATCAATCAAATTAACAGGACACTCCGCAGTTACGTAGTCTACTGTAGAGAGATACTGATCATCCATCTGATATTCTGCCGGACTGCAGCGGGCAGATGTCATGACACGTGCCCGTGTTCTTAGCGTCAACTGCTGCCACGCAACAACAATCTCCTATACAACTCCCATCGATTCACGCGTCTCCAACATCACGTCAGGTCTCAAATAAGACTTCCATCGAGACCAATTAATTACGCGCCACATAATGGCGCCTAAAGAGGACAGCACCGCAATAACCTTCACCGAGGTGGACGAGGTTAACCATCCTACCGCAACCTACATTTACTCCGAGCCCGCAGCGGGCCCTGCACATCGTGAGCATGGCAAGAAACATGGAGAGAATTGGGGACGCGTGGATGTGGCAGTTAGTGATGACCAATGTTACCCAAATCCGCGCACCAGGCTGCAAAGCTGTCGTTCCAACTTAACCAATTGCGCTGCTAGCATGCTTCCTCCACTGCTCCGGCAGCTTGGTCTTCAAAGAGCGTTCAAGACTTTCTAGTTGAGGTCTTCCTTCCTGCTGGATATCCCCACAGTGTCACAGATGACTATGCGCCGTAAGATACTGTTAATTTTATCACCCTAGCATTGGGCTCTGCTAATTCATACAGATACCAATTGTTTGTATGTCAAATGCGTCAAGCGTACCATACCAGCCCCTATCAAACTAGACGGCTAATTCACGAAGGACTCTCTCCAAGCCTTCAGCAGCTCGATTGCTGGCCTCCTATCCTCGAGAGCAGTGCTGCAAGGTTGGTGGCTGCTCTAATTCCACCCAACAGCTGGTCCCCAGGAAATCCCCTTCTAACAGCCCTTAGGCGTTGGAGTTGGCAACGCCGATGCCTCCCCCACCGCAGCCCTACTGCTGCACATCCTCCAAGATACCTCTGGCCGTATCGCGACGATCCTCTTCGCGCACCGGGTGGGTACTGCTCTCGAGCCAGAATGCAAGATGTACCGGCTTGCAGCGGACATCTTTAACGATCTAGCAATGATCCTTGACTGTCTCTCACCAATGATTCCTGCAGGTGCTCCTCGAGTCACCGTACTCAGCACAGCAGGTGTCCTTCGCGCTTTATGCGGAGTAGCAGGGGGGAGTTCCAAGGCGAGTCTAAGTGCACATTTCTCTCGCTGGGGGAACCTCGCTGAGGTCAATGCCGTAAGTGAATCAATCAACCTTTATTCGAACCCTGCGCCTAGGCCGCGATCACTGACTTCTTATCAACAGAAAGATTCGTCTCAAGAGACAATCATATCACTCATCGGAATGCTGGTAAGCCAGGACCCTAGTTACTACAACTCATCTTCTCCAGAGCGAGCCTGACCAAGAAACACACAGGTCGGCTCCTTCGTCGTCTCCCGCGTGACAAATTTCTCCACTACCTGGATATGCCTCTTGATGCTTCAGGCCCTGCACCTCAGTCTCAATTATGCGGCCGTCCGCTCCGTCCAAATGACCAGTCTCAACAGGCAGCGAGCAAACATCGTCTTCTCAACCCTCCTAAACACCGACCCAGACCTCACACGACTCCTCCACCCAGAGCCATCCAAACAGCAACAAACCCCTGCACAACACTCCCACCAACCGCCCTCCTGGAAGACCCTAACCCCAGCCCAAGTCTCCAAGAAAGAGAAAATCTTCGAAACAGACGGCATCCTCCGCTGGTCCCCAACAATGAAACCCCCTCAAACCCTTGGTTACTGCCGTATAGGCATCTCCCTGCACCAATTCCTCTCTTCCACCGCACCATCCAGCAGCACACGATCAACAACCTCCTCTCGATCCCTCCGAACCCCAGTCCCAATACCCCAACTCACCACCCTCTTCAACAAAGAAGACTACATCCTCTACCTCACCAACAGCAGCAGAAGCAGCAGAAAGAACCCAACATGGCACGCAAACATCCTGCTCAAGAATACTACTACCAGTCAATCCCAGCTCAAGGCATGGGCGCATGCCTTGCTGGCTGCAAGGGTCTTGTCGACGTCATCAGCAGCGACAGCAGACTCCACCAGTACCTCAGACCAGGTAGAAACTACGATGAATGTACTGGAGCGGACGTTAGAGTTCCTGAATGAAGGCTCGAGGTTCAATCGGTATACTACTGCATTGATCGATAATGGCTGGGATTTGGGCATTGCTGCGTTGGAAACAAGATCGGGAAGGAGAGTCGTGGTGTAATTTTTTTTAGGCATTGCTGTCCGCCTGTCTGTCTGCCTGACTATGACTGGGTAATTACCTAGTGTACTTGTGTGTAGGTTAGTGACGGAGTTGTAGGATAAAAGATTAGTAAATATTTTGAGACGATCGATACATACGTGTGGAAACTGTAGGTAGGAAGAAGTATGAATGATGGGTGATAAAAAGGGTTCCATACCAGATTCTTTACCTTATGACAAGACAGTGTGGTCTATAATCTACTGGACCCTACATTTTGAGCACTGAAGAAAAATATTCAGAGATAAAAAGCATCCAATCCATGGGTATCTATCAACCAGTACACAGTGATGCCAATGCTAATGCTAATGCAAAGTGTGATGCTAAAACACGGAGGAGAAGGAAAAGGGGAAACAGCATATGAAAGAAAAGCCCCTCATATGCCATCCCAAGAAAGACAATGCAATCATGCCCTTCGAACAGAAGGGGGATAAGAACAACTCCCATGCACGCACACATCAACAGAATGTCACTCGACACCCCACACAACCCCCCTTGAAAGATTTCAATATGGATACAGACACAAAACGCCAAGAGAGATAACAGACAACCACCACCCCCGTTTTGAAAAAAAAAAAAACAAACCCCCCAAGTCTATATGTTTTTGTTGATGACAAATGGAATGATGCACGCTTGGTCGCTTGCTTCGATGCAAGTGGGAAAACAAAGGGCAAAAAGAACATGAGACAGAACGCCGGGTTATGCTTAAATCATAATGCACATGCATTACACCGTCCACTCGTAGTCAATGAGTCAATGCGACATATTCGCTCAATAACCGAGAGATCAATCATATATGCGATATCAGGTTATGCAGATCGGATCATGCGGTCTAGCCGATGCGGTGAGAGAGGGGGAGATCAGGATGCCATTTTCGGCGGTCCGACGAGGATAGCGAGCGAGGGAGTGAGTGTTGAGGGATATCATCAGAGCTTTGACGCTCTGCCAGATAGGGTGTGATTTCGGTAAGGTTGTTGTTGGCCGGTTCTGAACGGCCAGTCATTCGTCCATGCCAGACAACTTGAAATGTTGGTTGCCGGAGCCTCCGTGGCCCGAGCGCTTTTTGAAGCCCAACTTCAGTCCCATCTTTTTCCATGGGTTGTCGGTGCGCTTCGGGCTGTGGGCCAAGTGCATGCAATGGGGATCACTGGAAGGCGGCGTAGTCGGCGGTGTCATTGGTTCGCCTACACTGGCGCTCGATTGCAGGCTTCCCGAGTCATCAGTCAAAGCTCCAGACGCGGAATCTCCGCTGGCGTTGGAGACTTGTCCCAAAGTCCGATGGCCGACCTTGCCCATCGAAGTCATTGCACTCAAGGAGAAGTTCGAGCGGCTAGGCGGAGAACCGACGGACACGGGCGATCCCAGATCCTTAGAAGACTGGGGGGACTGCCGTCTCCTCTTCGATCGACCCCGACTGGCCGTGTGCTCGTCGAAGCTCGAATTCGATACGACGGTGATATCGTCCTCATGGGGAAACAGCGGCTCCGATAGCGGCAAGACGTGAGCGGTCGAGGCATGTGAGTTGAGGAACGGCAGGAAGATCGACTCCTCCATCAGATCGTGGACGAGTTTTACGGCAGCGTCCAGGGTTTCGGGAAGCGGAGGGTTCGGTAGGTTGGCGTGTCGAAGGATGTCATCCCGGACCTCGCTGGAGACGTTGATCTCCCGTGGCGATCCGGGCAGGATGTAAGCAGTCAACAGTCGCTGCCAGAGCATACGCAGATGCTGGCTGCCGGTGCAGTCGGTGACGATAGGCGATTCATTCAGCTGGCGGCTCAGGGCATCGTACGTTTCCCGGTACCGCTTGGCCTCCAGGGTGAATTCCAAGGTCTCCAGACAGTGATTCTGCGAGAGATAGGCCATGAAGGCGCTGAGGGTGTAGGGGGCAGGTGCAGTGTTGGCCAGCACCTCATCTAATGAGGGACGCATGGGACAGAAAGCACCCGGAGGAACCGTCAAACTCAGCGGACGCGAACCGGAGGAGTCCATGTCCTCGTCCGACTCGCTGTCCGATGAGGAAGACGTAGGAGAAAGCTCAGGTGTAGTGCTGGGAGTATGGTGTCGGAAGAGTATGGGAGGATGCAGGGTCTTCTTTTTAAGCATCGCGTACAGCGTGCGTCGGTCACTGGGGTACGGCGCAGGTGTAGTGAAGCCCCGAAATCCACCTCGTTGGTGCTGTAATCCTCCGAGACAGCCCAAGCAGTGAATCCGGTACTTCGCCAGTCTCGGATGTTGGATGGCCACCCTTTCCGGAGAGGCCAGACTCGTCGATAAGCGAAGCCGTGTTTCAGATGGTGAAGCGTAAAGAGAAACAGCGCGACGGTGAGGCGGCACTGAGAGGGAAGACAGGCTGAGGCGAGACCCGGCGATAAGGTGGTAACAGTAGTGGTGGTAGTGGTAGTAAGTAGTGCAAGGTAGAGAGTTGAGTAGATAAGGGAAGACCTCAGTTAGTGAAGGATTGAGATCTGTTTGGTGGACAAAGGATTGATTAGTCGTGTCGATGTCCCGCAGCAAGGGTATAGGCAACAGCGGCGGTTTTCCAGAAGGGTCAGAGAAGACGGGGGTTGTGTGTATATGAGAGGAAAGTCGGTAATTGGGAAATTTGGGGGCAGGAAAAAGTAAAAAAACGGCTGTTAATAATAAGAGACCGGACTAAGGCCAGGCACAGCGATAGTAAAGGGGAATTGAGAAAAGAAAAGAGGAAGATGACGCCACAGAAGTCACAGCCGAATGGCAGAGGAGAGAGAGTAAGAGAGGGGAGGGGGGATAGACTGGTAAGTATTCAAATAAGAGGGCCAGCCATATCCAGAGCGTGAGAGTTAAGAGAGACACACACAGAGAGAGAGAAGAGTGGAAGAAACAAGGCAGGACGGGCCAGTGGTGGGTGGAGTGAGGTGATGCCGATCAGGACCCCTTCAAAAGTTCTCAGAACCTGCACGGAAGCGTCGAGCACCCGGGGGGAAAAGAGACTGAGAGTGAGAGACTCAGAGAGAAGAGGGTGGTGGTGGGGCGGGGGGGCGCGCCGCACAGGAAGGTGAGTAAGTGGAGTGGAGAGAGAGCGCGCGAGAGAGAGAGAGAAAGAAAGAGAGGGGGGCCAGAAAGTGAAAATCGAGAAGCCAGTGGGTGGATTTGCTGGATTTGCTGGCCCACAGGAACAACCGGCGGCCCAAGATTTCCTCACTTCCAGAGCCCATCCACGTTGGCTGGATGTGGATGTTCTCCCTCTGCAATTCCCATGGGAACCTCGCCTTTCCCACCACGAATCACCGCTGACGAGACTTCCCGGTCGATCGTACCCAGGATGAGCCCCAGCCTATCACGCCAAACTGGATGGTGCCCCTCCAGCCAGTCACAGTTGCAGCTCAAAAGAATAATGCCACCCACCCCCCAAAACGTAAAAGTAAAAATCAGAAGGGGCAAGAGAAAACAGGGAAAATCGAAAATGATAAAAAAAAGAAAATCGTCACTTTTGGAGAGGCAGAGAGCGGGCTGCGAATTTCTTTGTCTCCTCCTTCCCAATTCGGCTTTTTTTCTTTTTCTTTTTTCTTTTTCATTCTGTTTTTTCCCCTTCTGATTTTCCTTTTTCTTTTCTTTCTAATTCCCTAATTCCGCTTATTCTTCATTATAGAGAGAAGAATTTAAAGCAGGATGGGGAAGAAAGACCAGCAGGAAAAAGATTCCATGCTGATCATGAAAGCAAAGATGACTGACTGACTGACCCCAGACAGACTTTCTAGAACCACAGACACACCCACACACACACAGGATGAGGACTACGCGGCTAGTAGATAGCAAAAGAGGCATGGCCAACCAGGAGAGAATCACGTCATGCTCCTAAGGCATGCCTCAGACACTAGCCCAGGGAGTGACTCGCAAACATTGCAACCCAAAAGGATCTGAGAGACCAAAGGTGGAGACCGTGAATGGAAATTGGCTCCCGTCGCTGGTCCTGAATGGATCACCAGAACGCGCGATGGATCTCCGCCCGATGAAGTAATCCAGAGTTCCAGCTGCTGGATGTGAGGCCGAATGTGGATCCATAGCAACGCAAGTTTAGCGTTGGGTCAGTCAGTCAAACTCGTTGTTGCAAGGTCATGTTGTGTGGTATGTGCTGCTGCTGCTGCCGCCGCTAACTACTCAATCCCATCACGGTCCCGAAGGTGGTGTGGAATATAAAACCGACCATGGTGGATCCTGGCGCTTGTGTCTTCTGCCCTTCAGGGTGAATGACTCGTTGGGCCCTCTCTCTCTCTCTCGTTCTCAGCTCTGTGGATTTCCCATCTGCCTTGGCTTGTCGCGTAGTGCTCACTACCACTATGACTGCGGTTGTTGCTATGATGATATGGACCAGGTCGATCGATCGATCGACCGGCGGACCCCAAAGCAATATCCCGTCATGGATTGCAGTTGAAACAGCAAGTGGAGCGACCGAAAATATGACAAGCACAATGGGGTAACAACATAGCCAACACAAGATCAGGAAATAACATAAAAATAAAACCAGAAAAGGAAGGGGCCAAAGGAATGGACCCAAAACCGTAAAGAAATTGAGGGAAATAGTTAAAAGGGAAATAAGTGAAAAAGAAAAAGAAAAAGAAAGTCGCTTTCTAGAAAGAATGAAGGAGAAACCAATGTCGTTCACTCACCATGCGTCAATTGAAATGCGACCTCCCGCAACAGAATATCCGTAGAAGGAGACCGGCAGCAAGGGGGCGGTCGCCAAAACGCGCGTTCAACGCCAATATATCTCAACGGTGCAGCAACGAGGATGGGGTAGGGGGGAAAAAAATCGCTCAGGGCTGATCAAAAATGATAGATAGCGGAGCTTATGTAGGTTGCAGGCGAGTAAAAGTAGGCAGGCAGGCAAGCAAGCCGAACAAGCAGACGTGGAGTTTAATGTATGTATGTTTGCTGTAGGTATTCAACGCCCGGTACACAGAAGTAGAAAGGTGAATGTGATATATGATATGATGCACCCTACAGCACAAGCGAGATTCCGCAACGGAAGAAGGATAGTAGAACAAAATTAGAAACTTAAAGACGGCAACAACTCATTAGGCGCCCAGGAACCGGATTTCTTGCAGCTTTTGTATGGAGAAGGCGCCTGAGTTCAATGCAGAAAGCTTTGATCAAGTTGATTGCCTGATGCGGTTCGGGAGGGGAGGAGGAAGGACTACAGTAAAGAGGTGGTGGCAACTGGGCTCGTATGTGCCAGTCTGGACTCGATCGCAGTCCGCCGTAGCCCCAGCGCAGGATCGAATCGAACGAGCTAAGAACCTTAGGCTACGGAGTACATGTACCTGAGCCCTCCCGGTGACCGCAGCAGGTCGCAGAGGTACCAGCTACATACATACAAAGACACACACTGTCAGCAAACAAGCTGGGGTTTGCATTGCCGCTGTGCTTGAAACCCACACACAACTGAGCCAATGCCAGATGGAAGAGCTGCCTAGATGCAATGGTGAACTTGTTAATTAGTCCAGCCCAGATGTGTTGTCGCATCCACGCATCCACAAGACACATGGCCATCTACTTGGCGCGATGATACTTTAGTAGAGAGTAGAAAGACGAAGTTCCGCCCACTACCACCGGAACGGCGAAACAAAGCATACTATTACCACGCCCGAACGGAGTACTCCGAGCATTGTTTTTAAATCCTTTATACAATTGAAAATTCCATGTTCACCTAACCCTCACCGTGAATGTGCTTCCCACCGATACGATACTAGCTGTACCAATCCGGAGTCGGAGAACAACTCTCCGGATGGCCCCCCCCCCTCTCAACGGACGATAATGATGAATATGATCTCAAAGGCGCACGACGGCCTGACGGTGTCGTGCAGAGCGGCCACCCCGCAATGATTGGTCAAGCTGGCGCAGGATCTACAGGATGCCAAGCAGGCTGTGCAGCGAAAAAGGCAAGGGGGGAAAGGGATACATTCATGAGGGTTCCACCCGAAGACCGAAGGCAGAGAGAGGGAGAGGGAGAGTAGAGATTTGAGAGCTTGCAGGTAGCATTGATTGTGTATAGAGAGAGAGAGAGAGAGAGTTTACGCCTTATGAGTGCAACTCAGACATCCAATGGAACAATTTCGAAACCAGCTGCAGCAAAAGCAATTCCCTACTAACAACCTTCCTCCTGTGCAGTAGCGTGTAGAAGGTGGTGGTTGCTGGTGGTAATGGGCGGATCTGCAAGCCGACGAGGGGTGTGTGTGGTTGCAGACAAAAGAGACACCAGCAGATAGGAGCAGCAAAAGCTGCGTGCTACTGTTCTTCGCGGAGTCAATCGCGGAGTCGACTGGCTCCAGTTATGGGGTAAATAACTAGTGCCATGCTACGCTGGAATAGTTCTAGTACAGGAAAACACCATCGTGCTAAGCGCCATCAGCTTCTGAGCGCCAATTCCGATTATTACCCAGGAGATTAACCCCCATCCACATCCTTTGCAACGTCCAATCCTGGGGGCGGAACGGCTGGACGGCGTGGTATCACCAGTAATGACCCTAGTCCGGGGATGTGTTTAGTGGCTTTCCCCAAACGCGCCTGCAAGGGCCTGCAGACATGCAGCATACTGGTGTATGTGTCACAGGATAATGGTGGTGGTAACGGTTAACGAGAAGAAGCGCATCCTCCGATCCCGGTCGTGGTCGCGGACTCACTGCCAAATTCCGGGTGATTGATTTCATCATTGCAAACCGTTGTCGGGAAACTAGCCGACAAAGAAAAAAGGAACAAAAAAAAAAAAAAAAAAAAAGAAACGGAATCCTGGAATTTCTTACCTTTTCCAGAACACGAAGGAAGGCGCAAAGAAATTTCGAGGAATGCTGGTTTGCCCCAGTTGCGAACCGCAAGGGAGGGCGAAAGAACCAGTCCAACCCTTGCGGCATCCACTAATGAGATGGCAACTGGGGAGGAGGGAGGGGGCGCTTTCGGCCCGCCCGTACGCAGTTACTGCTGATGTGACCAGTCAGTGGCCACGCCTGACGAAATGGCAAAGAGAGTGTGTGGCATTAACGTAGCCCAAGTGGTCGAAATTTGGCCAGTTCCGAGGGTCCTCACGCCTTTGTGGATTGGTGGTACAAAACCCCCCCACCCCCCCATACACACACGCACACGCACAACTAATCAATCAGCCAATCCCGGCAGAGGTTGATGAGCAACGTGTTTCCTATTTGAGGTTGGCGCCTGTAAACGCTGTGCTCACGAGGTGCAATGGCTTCCTTTATCTGGTCCAGAAGCTTGTTAGCGGCTGTGGAGCATGGCCCTCGGGGCGTCTTTTCCAGGCCTTGGCGCGATAGGGGCCATATCGTTTCAAAGTCCTTCTCCTTCTCTTTACTCCCTTTGGTCAAGTGCATAGTTTATGACCTGCAGGTACTGTTCATACAAAGTAGAAGTTTGAGTAGGTAGTATACCTTAGTATATCGCGACCCTGTTACCCAGCGTTTTAAGGTGTCATTCTGGGTGGCGGATGGATCATGATGTTGAGTTCTAGAATGACATGGACCTTTTTCTCACCAGTGCATTCTGATCGGATGTTGTTGTACTACCACGTAGTCCTTGTCAAGAAAGGTTTATACGTCAGCACTAGGAAGAAGCCATACAGAAGGTTCCATGGAGTGACACGGCAGGCGAAGACTCGAGCAGGCGTACAAGATCTACGCCTCCCTTGATATCGCCATCAGCAACAGCATTCTAGCTTACAAATGTATCAGTGGGAAAGGGAGGGATATTCTGAATTACCATCCATCAATTCAACAAGCCACACCCAAATAACGTCATGTACCTGCTGTGTGAGGCCCGTTTGCAGATCGTTCCAGCACCCAGTGAGTAAGTGGCTTGAAGGGTCGAGTGACATTTGAATACGACACAGACTTATGGTCCCGGTAACCTTACTGCCTACATGCTTGAAGCTTCTGAGTAAGGCCACCTCAAGGACGGTCACGCCTGAGTCATATTGACTAATTGGCTCTGCTTATCAACTTCCATTACATCTTCCATGGGCTGTTTTGTGCCACCTGATTGATTGTCGTCGAACGGGTGCCGGGGTCGTCGCATCAACTGACCAGCAAAGCAGATCATCATGAGATTCTAGATTGATCATGGAAGCTTTCGAGGAAATCTTTTTTTTTCTCCCTCCCACAACGCCACTCTATTAATGTAACACAACTACTTTGCACATCTCCTAGGGACTATATTATCTATGGCCACTGAAAATGGAAAAGCGCTCCGATATGCTCCGGACTGATAAAGAAAGTCCTCAGCGAAACGGATCGGGTGAGGGTGGCAAAGCAGCTCGGTGGCTTATCAGTTGGCCGTGAAAAAACTATTTCGGAGTGCTGAACCTAATCTTCAGACTAGTGAAGGTCGCTGCTCCTCTAGGAAAGAGATTCATCGGAGTCTTATCAAACTTCGGCGCCATAAATATACCAAAATTGAGCCTGTCTCCCCACATATGATTGATTTTATAACTATCTAGACTACCTACTCTGATGAGAGTGATAGATTAGGACCACAGTACTAACATTAGTTCATGGAGATGAATTACCTAATCTCCGTGGCTGTTCATGCCGACGATTAGCGACGGTACCCGCCCTGACACTAACCTCGTTTTGCTCCATGATTTATTCATTAGTAGGAGGGGGCAAATATTGGGTCCAGCCAACAAGGTTGTCGGCACCGCCCGCACACCGAAACCCCAAAGGTAGAACGGACTGATAGGGAAAGTTAGGTATCAATTGCATCGGAGGTAACACCAAATATCTAATTGCTATGACTAACTCTGGCTATAGTCATTTTTGCCAATGGTGGACACCAACTAAGAAAGTCAATGGGTAGTGAAGCTATTCGAGTCGATATTGGATTCGTTCGCCTCACTTCTCGTCTCATAGCTTCCTGCATGCATAAGTAGGATGCGAACAAGAGCCACTTGCAGAAGCACTTCTTGGAGCTAGACAGGTAGCAGCAGCTGCTGCTGCTAGCTACAGAGCTCTCCATCTCTCCAGCAAACTAACAAGTGAACCACCATTCATGAATCTCTACGTACCTACAGCTCCAATTGACCCCATCGTATCGTGGGCGCTGCCAAGGACTGGTCACCACGTGTACGACCTCAATTGCTAAACGCGCGACCGCCACGAAGCCACGTTTTCGGCCAGCTGTCATGGAAGGGATTTTTTCCCTTTTCTCGTACAGCTGTTTCTGCCTGGCAGATTTTGACCTACTAATTGCTAGCAGCTTACATTGATGGCAAAGTTGGCGCTGTAAGTATGCACTGCACCGATTGGAGATAGACAATTCTACGGGGTTTCGGAGTCAACCGAAAGGAACAACAAAAATCACCGTCAATCACCCCAATGATCGGCGGCAGTCAAGTCATTTAGCTACAGTATGAATCCTTGGAATGAAAGGACCCTCATATCTCCATCTTTACGCCATCATAAACTTCTACTACTACGGACTTGGACACTACGAAAAGGAACGATCCACAATTTCTCCGTGGTCGGCAATACACTATGCCGCCGCACTAGCCAAGAACCGAGTATGACGCGATCAGACACCGCATGGGAAGAGATCTCTGCAGAAAGCGAAACCCGAACCCTTACGGGAAAAGGAAGATAGAAGTGGTACTTGGTCGGTGCTCATGAGTGAGGCAAGGCACTTGGATCATCATAGCAAGTGGATGATATAAGGAAGATCCTGACCAGGGCAGCCCAACGCGACAGAAGACAAATAAATGCCTGAAGAATATGACGAAGTGGCATGATGCCTGGTCTTTTGCTTCTCCCGTTGATCTGAAACAGGCGAGTGGGAACTGGGAACTGGGATTCCGATTCGATTTTCGGGCCCGAAATGCTGCCTTCCCCCCTCTTCTCTCCATTCCCACTTTGGTCTAGACCTGCTGCAGTGGAGAACAACTAGAGATTGTCTTGTCTGATGATCCGTTGTCGGTCATCATATGTTTGGCTTGGTTGGCCCGGCACTCAATCAGATGCTCGGGATAGTTTACTGAGTCGACTGTCACTTTTCTATGTTGGAGCTTGTTATTTTCCATCATTCAATCAGAGCTGAGAAGAGCTATTCCCCCCTCCCTATTATAGATAATATACCCTTTTACTATAGTGAATCGTCTATGTATACAAAATGCTATTATGATCATCCCATCACCAAGTACTATCCTTCTACTACGTAGTTATCACCTCAACAGCGACCGGCTACACTATACCCCTGCACCACTTCTGCAACATGACAGCATATCAAACCACCACCACCACCATAGCTAGTAACAGTAACTACCCCATACCGAAGTATCGATTTGCCATCGCCGATCCCCCATCATTCTACCAACATATATCCCGGTCTATATTCCGTGTATTAATGACGATGGGGAGGAAATATGCACTTCTCCCAAGAAGGCAAACCCTATCACCGACAGAGTTACGAGGGACACCTCTCCTCTCTTCCTCTTGCAAAGATGATTCGTTGCACCTCCAGGCTTCAATGTGAAGCACGGAGGACTTAGCCAAGCAGCCAAGCAAGTTGCCAAGCCAAGAAGAGGAAAACACCTCCCACACCATCATGTCCCCTTATACGCTCTGATTAATTCCGCAGGAAAAGAAAGCAGGATGGGAATTTACTTCAACTTCATCATCATTATCCCCCGCTCAATAGCATAATCAGGACTGTATTGCAGGCAGGCAGGCAGGCAGGCAGGCACTTTCGGGACGGGGATGGGGATGTCGTGTTACGTTGATTTCATCCCTATATAGACACATACATACATACATACATACATACATCGTGAAGAAATAATAATAGTCCTATGATATATATACCTATATCATAAAATCCAAAAACCACAGATAGTATTAATTCAACATGCGAGTAGACCTCACAAACAAAAAACCCAACTCAAGCCCAAGCCAAGACAATCATCACCACCACCACCCACCCCCTCCTCCTCCTCCATCCATCTCAACCTATAATATCACCCCATCCGCCACTACAAACTAGTACTACCACCGAGCGCACAGATCCCCTTCGATCATCATCCCTCATCCCAGACACGGCACAGCTCAGCTTACCATCTTCCAATGAGGATCGTACGTTGATACTTTACTTCAATTTGATTGCTTGCTTGCTTGCTTGCTTTGCTCGATAGATAGTCATGTCATGGTCTACGTGTAAGAGCTCATACAAGGGGGGGAGGATGTGGCATGGGGGTTATGGAGGTCATGTCATGTCATGTCATCATGTCATAGCGGGAAGGAATATCGTCTTTCTTGGCCTGCAGGGTTAAGGATAGGCAGGACTCCGTAGATAGGGCTGGCTGGCTGGCTTTCACTGCTGTGCCGTGTTTGGTCTTGGCGATGGATGTAGTAAGAGTTCGTAGTTATAGTATCTGACAGATGTCGTTGGATTTCTGGGGAGGTAGTAGTTGGTTGGTCGATGGTCGATTACTTGGGTTTAGGGAGGAAGGTCTACTGCTGTCAACATTGATAAGTGGATAGCATGCATATAATGTTGGCTGCTCTATGGGATGGAGAGTTAGTGACTTATGTTGTGGTTCAAGTGATCGTAAGTGATTGGTATAGAACTGTATATTAGAAGATCTATCTAATGGGGTTTAAAGTAGTACTACTATGCAGCAGTAGTAAAAGTAGGTATCTTCGAATGAAAAAGAAAGAAAGAAACACTCCTAACACGCCCATGTTCACACGCCTGACACCCAAAAGACGACACTACTCTACGGAAATCGAGCCCCGTCTTCGATATACAACTCCCACGGCCGTGCTGAATGTATATGCTCCCTGTCTCCTCTCCGGTATATCTGCTTTCCCCTGTCACCTGCCACTTTGCTTCATCGTATATATAGCACAGCTTGCTGTAGACTCTGGAACGCAAAAGTCATCGAGGCCGACACAGGGCTTGATTTACTGCTCAACCCCCCTCCCCCCTTTGTAGTCCCTCGACCAACAGGGGTCGAGCAGACGTCTCGTCACACCCTTCGAGCACGGAAAGAAAAAAAAAAGAAAAGGACGAAAGAACCAGGCGAATCTGGTGAATCAACTGTTTTTGGAACTGACAACGGCAGAGAGCATAATAGGAACAAGTACAAATCCAACAAAACACACGGCTACATCCGAATGATTCCTTGCAAATGCGCGTGAAAAGCGACACATAATGGAAATGAGGAAAGGAAAAAGAAGAAAAAAAAATTTAAACAGAAACAGCCGCAGGCCGCTATCGCATGAACTCCTTGACCGAGGACTCAATTGGTCCTGCACACGCATTCCACGGGGCCGCATATTCAAACATTTAAATGCTAAAAATGCTTTGTAAATCAGTGTCTGCCCGGACGACACGCGAGGACTTCCACCAAATGCCAAACGCCCTTCTGCCACATCATTAAAATTACCATCGAAAGACCAGCCACGAGAGACCCGACGTGATAGAGTGGTAGATGTCAGAGACGGGTCGAAGAGGGAAAGGTAAGAGGTTCGGGGCACTGATCATGTACTCTGACAAACACAAGACGGAACTCTAGTATTAAATGGCTCGTGCCGGGAATGCGGGACGAAGGAAATAAGAGGAAGAGAGGAAGAAAAGAAATGCAATGACACAAGCAGGACTGATCAGGTTCGCCGTTCCGAGCCGTAGCACCATAAAGAGAGCGTTGAGATGACGAGGGTGATGATGAGAAAGACGTGGGAGGGTCGTTTCTATATCGAAGGCCGACGCATTTCGAGCTGATGTTGCCTTGGCAGATTAGAGAGAGAGAGAGAAAGAGCGAGAGCAGGCGGGTTGGAGCCAGGTGCTCTTGATCCGAGACCCATGGATGACACAAATAAGGAAAAGAACAATATATCCACGCTCCCCAAAGCCAACATCATGTTCACCTGCACTAGCAGCAGCAACAGCAGCTGCGTCGGCAAGAACACGTACAACGGGATGGGGAGTTCCCGGGCTATAACACAGTATAATCGCATGCTGCCTTTCAAACCTCCCAAGTATGTTGAAGACAAGAAATAACGAAAGAAAGTCGAGAAGCCAACATGACCAGGTGATTCATAGAGAATTCGGTAGAATTCCACGCTCATCCTCGCATCAACCTGGATATCCCACTATAAGTATGGAAAAGGCGTAGAAACTTGCGGTATGGCACATGGATCACCTACCGCAGCAAAGCGCCTTCATCAGCTTCTGGACGAACGTGGGCTGCGGCTCATTGTTTCCTTGAGCGCCCTGGCCTTGTTGGCTGTTCTTCGTCGGGTTCGCAGGGCTGTCCAGGCGTCCCGGAATGTTGGCATTGGAGTTCTGAAACTGTGCTTGAGTCGATGCTGTCGGCGTGGCATCCAGGCCCCCGCTCTGACGCTTCGGCGGCATCCCGCCTGAGACGCTTGGCCGGTCGCGTGTCTTGCCAGCTCCGGGCTTGGCCGGGGACGGGGGCGGGGGCTGAGCGGCGTTTAAACGGTCTGCAGTCACTCCAGGCCGACTGCCGCGAAGCTGCTGTGCGTGTAGCTCGCGAGCAGAGGTGTTGGGAAGGGCGTTGTTGTGGAGGTGCTGTTGAGACGAGTAGGACTTGTACTCCCATCCTCTTCCATTGTTGAGCTTCATCCAGTCATATTCGCCATCTTCGACTTCTCCGGCATTCTTGAGAGCCTGTGTCAAGAGGTCCCGGAGGTAATCATAGTCGGGGGTATCCTCGAAGCCGAGGTTGCGCACATAAGTTAGGTACTTTGTGAATTCTTCTAAGCCATCTGATTAGTGATTTTTGGTTACTCGAAAAAAAGGGGAAAGAGACGCAATCACCTGGGAATCCATCGCAAAGATCCTTGATTGCGGTGGTCTGCTTCTTCTCGCCAATCTTCTCATACTTCTGCTTGTTGGTGGCGGCCTTGAGACCCTGCCAGGGGAGGCCACCTCTGAGGAAGTACAGGAAGACGTGGCCCAAAGCTTCGAGGTCATCACGTCGCGATTGTTCACGTCCCAAGTGGGTGTTAATGCTCATGTAACGGGCTGTGCCGGACAGCGACTTCCGTTCGCGATAGGGAATATGCTGCTTCGTCTTGGGATCTCTATACTGCTTGGCCATACCGAAATCAACCACGTGGATCACATTAGCAGCCTTGGTGTTCGGACGACCAATGAGGAAGTTATCGGGCTTGATATCACGGTAGATTAGGTTCTTCTCGTGGATCGTTTGAACTCGCGAAAGCTTTTGAAGCATGTTAGTATGAACACCCATACAGTATGATTGTTCGGGGTACGCACCATCTGCTTAGCGACCATGACAACAGTCTTGATCGAGAAGCGTCGGTTGCAATGATCGAAGAGGTCTTCCAAGCTGGGACCGAGCAGGTCGATAACCAGGATGTTGTGAAGACCCTCTTGCCCGAAGTAGTAGACATTGGGGATGCCAGCTGCAACCAGTCAGAACCGGGAAACCTTACGAACACAATTGCAACCAGGGTATACTCACGGCATCCGACCAGGATCTTATATGTCCGATATTCATCACGAAGCTGTGGTGCATCACTCTTGCGAGGTTCCTAGTACCATTAGTATGGCGAAACGTAGACGCGTGCCGTCAAGAATATCACATACGAATTTGATCGCCACCTGGTGATTGTTCAACAAATTCGTACCCTCGAAGATCACACCAAACGATCCTTCACCGATCTTCTTCCCTACTCGGTAGTGAACACCGACGACGTTGGACGAGGAGGATGCCATGACTGCGGTAGTTGGAGGGGAGGAGGGACGTTGAGACCGCGGACAGGGGCTGAGAGAAGGGGAAGGTAGGCTTAGAGCACTCGATCAACGGCGGTTACACGTGAGACTAGCCTGACAGATGGGTCAGAATAATCGACAAGAGAAAATGAATGTCGAAAGAAAAGAGGTCTAGTAGCGGGCCCTGGGGCGAGAGGCTGAGAGAGGGGGGAAAAGGCGACCGGAGTCTTACAGGAAGCCCGATGGTACCAATGCGAACCATTCATGAAAAAGAACCCCAGAGTACAGCAATCACGGAACCCGGACGGACGACAAATCGGAGACCGCAGACGGCGAGATAGATAGTCGCTCGAACAATCGCACCGGTGAATTTGGACGAGGAGGGAATAGGGTGCACCCTTGGGACGGCGTTGGCAAGAAGGGTGACGGGAGAGGGAAGAACAAGGTATTCCGGGGAACCGACAGCTTTGAGGGCTGCAGGCTGACAGTTAAGGGTGCGCTCGTCGGAAAGGGGACGAGGAATAGAATGTTTCGATTTTGGGAAAAAAGGAATTAATCGAGAAGGGGTAAGGAGGGAGGGAGGGAAAAAAAAAATAAGGAAAGAAAATTCCCCTACTACCGACCAACCGCGTGGCAGTACGGCAAAAACGCACTGGGCAGGCAGTGGTAGATGTAGAATTGGAGGGCGCCGTCGAAGGGGAGGGAGGAAGAGAGAGAAGGAAGAAGGGAAAGAAGAGTGATAGGAGGAATAGAGACGGGAGGAAGAGTAGGTAGAGAGGACCTAGGTGAGCAGTGAACACGCCGATGGCATGAACTACAACTGCTACGACCTGCCAATGGGGGAGGGAGGAGGGAAAGGGAAAGGGAAAAAAGGGAAAGAAATGAGGCGGAGAATAGCAGGAGGAGCAAGAGAAAGAGGAAGAGGAAGAGGAGAGAGACGGAGGAGAGGGTGAGAGAGAGAGAGAGAGAGAGCGCGACAAGAGAGGCGATGGTTGGATGAGAGAGGTTTGGTCTGGTCCGGTCTGGTTCCTTTGCTGGGTTTTGGTCAGGTCATGACGGAACAGCCGTATCGGCTACTAGTTCAAGTAAGTAAAGTAAGTAAAATCAAGTAACTTACTTACCTGTCGAACGACTCAAGAAAGTCGAAACCCGATGACGCCCGCCCTTCGAAATGGGGCGCTTCCGCCCGGTTTTTCTCGTGGTAACGATGGTAACAACTGGGTAACTGGTATTAACTAGTGCAGGCGATTCGAGTCGGAAAGGCCCCATCGATAGGGGATGAAGGGCGGTAATCGGGAGTACGGGTATGGTACCTGATTACACTGAGACATCCGGAGGGCCCCATGCATTTCTTCATTCATTCATTCATCTGTCCTTCCAATCCCACATACCTCTCTCTCACTCTCTCTCTCTCTCTCCTAATGAAGTACTACTATTACCACCACTTGCCGATCGGGTAAGGTTAGGTGTGTGAGACAAGATCTCCAATTTTCAGATTACCCCAGAGTGTCTCTCACGTCTACCAGACACTGGAAACGGTTGAACCCAAGGAAGTGAAGAAAACTCTGGATACAATATGAGAGCCAATGAAAGGATCCAGTTGCAGACTTCAATTGCGCTTATTCGCCTCCCAAATTCTATCCTGGACTCGGAATCGCCCTGACCCAGGGACCTTTACTAGCGGCGCCGCTAGCGCTCAGCCTGTTTGGGCGATGAACGGTTGAAAGCGGGCACTACTCCGGTTAGTAGACGCCAGCAGTGGATTCTGGCCCAGATGGAAAAAAGCTATTATTATTTTGATTATTTATTATTGCGGTGGTCTCGATGGTACGATTGTTACCTTTTCTCCTCTCCCCCGGTGCCACATGGGGCTGGCGCTGTCTAAGTGTGTCGTCAAAAGCTCCAGCACCAAAACAAGGAGGGAAAATAAAAAGAAACATGGAACCCCCGGGGGTTCACTCGCGGTGGGCAAAAGGGATCCATTTCATTTAATGCTTTCTTATTTTTTATTTTTCTTTTTATATAGATACTATTAAGAAGAACTATGAAGTCACCACACTTGACATTGAGGGCTAGTTTCTATTGACTATTTATTATGCCGGAATCACTCCGGTTGACCACTATACTTTCATAACTCGCACTTGTTCCCCCCCCCCCTGTGCCTAGGTTGTTGTTGCTCCCTTGACCGAGGAATGAACGATAGACAGTATGGAAATGGACCATCAAAGTCTAGCCGATTTGGGCATGGTAATGTAATTTCAGGTACATACGTGGCGTATCAGTCAATCTATTCCCTTCGGAACATAGCCTACTTGACTTGGGAGCAGAGGAGCTCATGAAAAGACAACACATGCCTAACTAATTAACTTACTACGTATCTACTGACATACTTCATCTATGGACCGTATATCCGATCAGTAGTTCAATAAATCGAATCACATTGCGGAACACACCCTCCCTCAATCGGATTTCTACTCCGGAACAAGCAAGCAACAATTAACCCCAGGACCCCTAAACCCAGAATTGAGTACCTGCGCAGGAGGATGCGAGCTGGCCGCAAGCTGCGGGTAATGGCGCAGATAATAACTTCCTAGGTAAGTAAGATCGTATACTATCCAACCTAACTGACTTTGTACTTGCTAGTTGAGAAAAGTAAGTAACCTAACCGACGCAGCGGTCCAATTCCCTTCTCCCCTTCTCTACCAATAATCGCCAGCGATCGTAGCTGTCAATCCAGCTAAAACAACGCCCCATATATATCAATTTTATTTGACAGTGACAGACTGTCAGCTCGCTCCTAGCGGCTAATCGCTCTTAATCTGCCTAGTGACTAGTGAGGTGCTGCGGACTGCTTCTAAAAAGCCTTGAGGGGGGTTTGAAGGTACCTGCGCTGAGCTGGCACTGCCCCTGACCAGTCTGTAACCCAACCTGACGCTCAGGGCAACCAATCGAGCTACTTCAAATAGTAGTCGGACTACTACTAGTAAAGTGTTCGGTAGCTGCTAGTGGTAGATAGGTGTCGTATTGGGGGAAAAATTATGTATCATACCGTACTTACCTGGCCCCTACCAGCTAGTAGATACTTAATAGATACGGAGTCTCTGAGTGACCTGAGAATTAGGAGACTAGACTTAATACTCATCCACACTCCCCTCCCCACCCTTTCCAAACGAGGAGTAGGACGAGGATGACTTTGCTCCGCAGTGTCCTCATTATCAAGGTATCGACCTGATGATTTCATTGGTACAAGGTATCGGAGTGGGATTTGGGGGCCCTGATAGCACAAGGGTGCTTCCGAAGAGCCCAATTGGGTTGGCGGCTTCCACCACTTTTCAATAATATGGAGGATTCGAAGCGTTCTCGAAGAAGTAACCGGCCGTCATGATCGGATTTCCCATGGAGGGCTGACTTCCCATGAAAAGTCGCTACTAAGTAAGTACTGCGCCGCACAGCCGGGCATCCTGCAACTCCGTAGCACATCCACCAGTGGCTCGTCCATTTCAGATGCATCTGACACGTCCATGACCCACATCTCACTGGATGCCTGTGCTTGGTTTGTTCTGATCGATTGAACTTGTGGTGATGCCTGCCCGTTTGAAACGCATTCAATGCAGCCTTGAAACGGTTTCTCCTCCCCCAACTACATCAGACGTGGAATGCCTCGTTGGTAAAACTCTACGGCATACAGGCGCGTATGCCAGATAATGCAGGGGCATAGTCCGACCTAAATCGCCCCCAAAATTCATACGTTCGAGTGGCCTGGTGTAGTGTAACGGGCTGCCCTTCCAGTACAATGGCTTAGCCACGCGATTGTCGAATACACATCATCACATCGCACAAAAAGTGTTGGTGTGACCATAGCAACAGTCACTTATTCATACAGCAACAGTTCCGATATAAAGGCGGTCTCTCACAGTTCCTCTGCCGGAACATCTTCCGCTTCACTTCCGAGCTCCTCCGCCACCAGATTTCGGTCTCCTTCTTCGTCGTCCTCTTCCATGTCGCCTTCATCGTCCTCCTCATCATCATCATCATCCTCCTCGCTGCTAGAGCCGCTTCCGTCGCTGTCACTGTCACTCCCGGGATCATAATCTTCCTCGTCCTCATCCTCTTGATCTTCCAGCTCGCGTTGGGCTTTTTGAAGCTCACTTTCCTCCTCGACGGCTCCTTCCTCATTGGCAGCAGCTTCATCTTCTCCCTTGGCACCGTTGACGTTGTATCGCTTCGCACGCCGTGCTTCGGCAAGACTGGCATCCTGCAGACCATGCTTTTTGATGTAACCATCAATTCCGGAAAAGTCAGCCTGGTCGATCATGGAGAACTCGAATTCCTGCGTCTCTTCGCTTGACGTAGGACGAGCTACAACATTGAGATTAAAGGTCCGCTGCAGGACAGATGTGTATGAGATTGAGTCGACGTTTTCAAAGGCAAAGAAAACCAGTGGTTTCTTGAACCCGAATAGTATTCCCGTAGAGAGAAGGAAGAGATAACCTGAGATAGAATAATTTTAGTTACGGGGACGTAGGGCAAGAGCACGGCGGGCATAACGATACCTTCTTTACTGCCGCGGAAGGCCTTGACATGAAAGGCCTTCTCCCCCTTGCGATGAGCCTCAGGCATAGCACTCACGAACTCTCGCTCATCCGGGCGCACAACCTTGGTCCGCGGGAGGCTGTCGTTCAATATCCGCTGGACAAGTTTATCTGCCGTTTCTTCGTTATCCGTTCCAAGCTGTTGTCCATTGCCTGAGAACGCTGCCTTGGGAGGCCCGTCGTTGACCGTCCATACGATGGCATCGGGAGCAGCTACACCTTCAGGCGGTGAGTTGACGCCGTCCGCATATTGAGGGATGATGCAAAAATTGAATTGTCGCTGGTTCTTCTCGGGAACGGGGAGGCACAAGACATGCTCTGTTCGGATCCAGCAACGTTGTCAGCCTTGACACCACCTCCGTCAACCATAGTTCTACACATACGTATGTTATCCAAAGGTACACCAAACTCCACCTCCTTCGATGTCTGGTTTCTCGCACGTAAAAATCCGGCAGTGACTTCGAGCGTAAGCTTCTTCCGCTGGGGAACAGCAAAGGAAACATCCTGCATGTAGAACTGGAGCGAAGTATCGGATTTCAAATCGCCGGAAGATTGGGCACTTGTAGCATTGCCATTCTGTAGTTTTCGTTTCTTCATGGCTGGGCCGTCGCTGACGACCTCGACAGGCCGAACGGGGGCGGTTGCAGTCCTGGCCAGCAGGCTGGAGGTATATTTCGCGATATCTTCGAAGAGAAGTCCATGTTGCGGGGTATGTGCTGTTTACAAGATAAGAGGGTCAGCCGGCAGACCTTGCACCTTCTATGGGGTTGTGGGGTGAATGTAGATTGTTGTCCTAAGCGACATAATACGCACCGATCGCATCGTAAACCCGTTTTTTGAGCGCTGGTTCGGCGGCAAAAGCGTCCTCAATGGCCGGGATGCTGGACGGCACTGATGAGTTGATCGTGGCAAAAGCCATGCTGTGGAAGGTGACAGCCCCAATGACGCTTATATATAGAATCTGCGTAAGTCAAAACAGTTGAGGCCGCCCTGAATAAAGGAAGTTGAATGGGGGAGCAAATGGGTAAACCGGGACGCGGATCGGATGGATGAAGAAGGTAAGTAGTTAGCAGGAACGCAGCTGCAGACCTCCCCTGGCGGCCCTGTCGACCCGTGGGCGCGCGCATCCATAATTTCAAGCGCATTTGGGGCAAAGTAGTCCGCAAAGATTGGGTCCGATCGCTCCCACGTCCAGTCTTCTTGCGACGGATGTAACGGTACTCAGATCGGCCTACAGTTTCGTGCTGCAGGGCAGCTGTCTATCCATATTCATCTTATACATTCGGATTCTATGCTACAGTAGTATAATTGTGTACACCCATTGGAAAAAAGAAATGTCGAACAGAAACAGAAAAGACCCAGGCGCACTCTCCCACAAGTCGGAACACCAAACGAAATCCCAGCAAGCAATTAGGCTTTCTTGGTCGCTTTCTCCTTCATGAAGTTCTCAATGAATCCGACCGTCTTATCATCCAGGATGTAATTTCCATTGGCATCCTTCCTCGCGTTCTGGCGCTCCTGCTTCTTGGCTTGAATCATGGCCAAGAATTCACCTCTGGGTGTCAACAAAGACCGGCTTTGAAGATATTCCCGTCTGTAGTCTTCCATCTTCCTGGCCTCCACCCACTCCTCATCGTGTCTCGTTCTGTACTTCGAAAACTTGTTGCGGAGTTCGTCCAGGACGCTGGGAGGGAATGGGGCGTAGTGCAACGACGGCATCCAAGTGGGCGTTTCGACTTCCATACGGAGCGTATCCCAGGCCTCATCCTTCATTGCGGCGGGGTCACTTCGGGGCCAAGGGATCTCAATGTCTTCACCGGCAATGTATCTCGTGTGTCGGGGCGTTTCGGTACCGTACTCGCGTTCGAGGAAAGGCTCTCCACCGCGGACATGTTCGACCAATACATCTCGTGTGGCACCGGTGACAGGATCATCAAGAGCGACGACCAGGCGGACATCATCGATAGAAAGAGGCAGGCTCACGGATTGGAAGGGGCTCGAGTTGCCATACTGCTCATTCAGCCAGTCGGGGAAATGGACATCGGCCTGTTATTGGAAAGCCCAAGGATCAGCGTAAGGAACAGTGGTTACTTCAGACAGGTTTACATACCATGTTGAGATCCTTAACCACAACAGTCTCGGTTGTAGCATCCACCCTAGTAACCTCGTTGATCTTGCCCTTGTCTTTGCCCTTCATGATGCATACTCGGTCACCGGGGGCGATGTTGATGTACTTTCTCCGCAAGTGCTCCGGGACAGGCGGAGGGTTCATTGCCTGAGGGCTTAACGCACCGAAGAGTCGCCCTTCGAGACCGGCATCGCGCTGAGGAGCCAGAGGTCCACGGAGCCAGTCTTCACGGCGTCGCTGTCTTTCCGCGCGGAGGTTATCGAGCTCGATGCGGTTGTAGGCAAAGCGCTGCCTTAGACTGTCCTTCAAATCCTCGCGTTGGGCTGCTTTGGTGGCTCGAATTGCTTTCCGTTGGGCCTGATTCCGCGCCAGGGCGGTCCTTCGAATGACCTTCTGCATCTTGACTGTTGCCCAGCAATGGCCGATTGTTTCCGCGGAGTCACCAGGAAGCCTTGAGAGATGCTCGGGAGGGAAAATTGCGGCCCTGGTTTGTGCACGTGACCGGGACTATGGAGAGCCAATGGGGAAACAAAATCATGGGGTTCCGAAACAGTACTAAGTATGTACACTGGAATTTGTCTCGTCACAACATTTGCTGGTGGATATCTGCCTAGTAGTCTTTGAAAATGATATATCTTGAGCATTGAACGCTCGAGTACATTTTAGCAGGAATGCAGCAGCTACCTTTCAAGAAAACTGGGCTACGGCGGCAAAAGCAGCACGTGCAATCTAGTACTAGCTATGTACTCCCCAAGTCTATATCTTTATGGCCCGTCCGATCGAGACAGTATGCTCTTTAAGCTTCGAACGGAATGAGTTCGGTAATATGGAAGATATTGGAGCGTGAAGTTCACCATTATATACTCCAGGAGCAGAGAGGAATATTGTCCAGTACCGAGATGAAGCAGCATCATCAGTATCCCCCGAACCATACAGGCTAAAAGAGCTCTGATAGGGACTGAAAATCACAGGCTTCTCCTGCAGAGCACACATGTCTCGATGTTACGGGACTGTCCAATAAGCATAGGTGAGATGCAACAAATACTTAAGACCATCGCTCATGTTCGAAGTCTAGTTATACCATCTTTGTTTGGGAATGTGTGCAATATTGGGCGTTTCCTTCACAGCATTCAGTGTACGGTGCTATTTGGTGAAAATCCCGCTTTATATATCAAAAGAGAAGAGCGTGGCATATTGCAAATAGAATATGCTACCTCCGAGAAACATAATAACCTAGAAGGCTGGCCTTACGCTCATAGTCACCCAGGGAGTAACACCAACTACTTATTTCCGCTACAACGATACCATATCATGGTATCTCGATGGTTCTAGAATCTACCGACCTCATATCAGTTGTGGTCTTCATGGCACGACCGTCATCCTCGTCTACTCCGTAGGCACAAGGGGTATGCCATCCTTTGCAAATAGGTATCCGTAGCAGGCAACAACATAGTGTCTCCAGTCCATGCTCAGCGTCCCACTATGTACCCTGCTTTGTGAGATCACCGGCGAGCAAACGCAGGGATCTCTCGCGTGATGACTTGTTCACTGATGTGTGAGGTACTGAGTAGATCCTTCAGGAAGGTACACTTTCATGAGCACCTAATTCAACGTCCAAATTCATCGCCACTGTAAAGTGGGTTGGCATACAACCGTGTAGATTCGTAATTCATCGAAGACCGCCATCCTTACTGCAAGAAGCCTCCTGTAGGGCAAATGCCAATGTAGCGGATCTCTGGGAACGGTGTCACCGATCATGTCTTACCACTGCTGAGAGTTACAGATCTCCAATTGGATTCGGCACAGCATCTGACACGATCAGTGGGTGATAAGCAGGTTCGGTCAGACGAAACAACAGCCTGCCAAGTCAGCCAGGAACAAGACTGAACCAGCAACAATTCATTAGCGTTTTCTTTCTGAAGGACTGACTCAGGGCACAGAAAACCATGTACTCTGTAGGTGCACAGGACCTGCTCTGGTACTGCAACTAGACCCAGAAGGCCGTGGCAGGTTATCTATGGCTGCTTTCTCCGCACGAAAGACCTCGGAGAGTACGGAAAATCGACTCCGTAGTGGAAGTAAAGCGTCTCGGCCGCAGGCTTGCAGCACCTTTCCTGCACTTCCGCATTCCGCATACGAAACGTCGGCCAGTCCATTTGCTAAGTCTCAAGTACGGTGACAATCACCCCACTTGACAACCAGCTATTTGGGTTGGTGACGATATAGTCCGTGATCCTCTGCGTCTTTAGACACTCGATCTGGTTTGATATTCATAGTATGAAAGGAATAAAGGAGTTGCCTGCTTCCAGAGGAGGATGACGTTTGCACTGGAGGAATATACGTACCGACCCGGTTGGGTAAAGAACATGGCGATCAATTGCACCGCCACGTCTCTTTGCTGTCGGTAATTGAAGGAAGCATCTCCCCCCTCCCCTAGCGGGTCTGGAAGATTACCATCATACCGCACCAGAAGTACGTACCTTTGGTTACTCCTTCCAGGCTAAGCCTAATCCCCTCGGAAGGTCCGACAGTTATCTTGAAGTGCCGATGGTCTGTCATTTTTTTGAAAAATTGCAGGCAAATTTTCAGAACAAATCTCCATTTTAAATTTTCACAGAAGGGCTGGCTTGGTGATGAGTTATTTGTTGAAAAAGCAATCTGACCGCTGCCTGGCTATACTCGGATCGCCAATGCAGACCGTACAGTAGGTACTAGGTACACTCTCAGTCTTGGATTATCGGGACATCCGCAATGGAACGAATCAGGGTGAAGATAGGGCGCCTGCAGGGTTATCGTCTTTGGGTTATCCCTTCGACCACCAGCCGTCTACATCATTTCGAGCTGCAGACTATGATGTTATTCCCTGGGGCGGAGTACTCCGTGCATGGTGTAGCACGATGTAATGAGTGATCCAAGATGCATAGAGTGAAATCCAGCCGGTATGCCTGTCCAAGGAAAAAAGCTGGGGTAACATGCAGGGAAGACCCGAATGAGTATAGCGAATCGAGGAATTGCTTGACTTCCCGAAAACTGCATTAACCTTGGAATTCGCTGGCTTGGTTATCGCTATCTAAATGTTGGAGCACGAAAGCGAGAGGAACACATACAAAATACTGTGGCAGCTTACCCAGACAACCGGAGGGACGCGACACCGCCGATTAGGAGAAGTATGGAGCCACACCCGACAGCTCCGACTCTCTGGGGGCGCCCACAGGCTTCTAGGCTCTCTCCGACTATGGCGACGGTAACTATGGTGTCGACGGGAGTTCGTTTATTGCGGATGTAGAATGGACAATGTTACTAGTACTATCACGAATCATAATCATATTAATCTTGCATGGCCTCGAACTGTAGGAGGGGATTTTGTTTACTTTTTGACTTTTTGCATTTCCCCCTTTCGAAATCGTTCGGAAGATAAGCCCGCGGAATATAGAAGAAGGCTAAGGTAACGCAGTCTGACGACTGACAACTATTCAGTACTTAGTCTACTAAGATACTTACTACTACGCAGCCGAAATGGACCGAAGAACTAGTTAGGTCGAATCTTAATAGCAGCAAAAAGGGAGCTCGATTATTACAGGGGAGGAAATTGGATGAAGCTTGACTGGGCTGAATGCCTGGGAAATACATAGTCGTAAACACGGGCCACGACAATACGTAAGTGCCACTGATACCCGTAGGTAATGTCGATTATTACTGCGTTTACCCTGTCATTAGTCTTCAGCCACGGTGGCTTCGACGGAGAATGAAGGCAGACCAAACTAGGCAGCTAAGTAAGCAGCAGCATTGTACGAAGGAGCCAAGCTGGGGTCACGAGCGAAACCAAAAACGGTGCTTGATAAAATGAGGGAAGTAGATGGAAGAAAAAGGAGATGGCACTTGAAGAGAGATAAATAAGATGAAAAATAAATGAAAATGAAAATGAAAGAAGAAAGGGTGTGGAAAGATTATCCCGATTTCTCTCATCCTGGTTGGCCCATAAACCATTATTAAAATTCCAATGCGATACAAGCCATCAAACTGTACTGTGTCCTACTGAGGAGACTGGGAAAGCATATCACGTCATTCCCAAGTATGAAACTTTTTTTTTTCTTTTCTTTGGCCTTTTGTTTTCTAGTAGCCATCTACATACAGTAAGAGAGAAAGACCGCGAGAGAGAGAGAAATAGAATAATCAAATAATCGAATCACATGAATGGGGAGATTGGAGGGAAAGGGGAGAGTGTGTGGGAAATAAAAATCGTCATCATGTGAATCAAATCAAATCAAAATAAAATAATAAAAGAACCAACTGGCTTTCACAGCCACATAGCATTTTCACCAGGAAAGATGGATGGGGCTGGGCCAAATGTCGCTTGCCAACCGTTTCAGGCCCTTCTAGTCTGGGTTTGGTCGGGTTCCTTTCCTTAGTCACCTACTTTTCGGGAACAGGGAGCCTCACCTGAAAGGACGGGGGGAAAACGAAAAGAACTGAACGTCGCCCAAACGAAGGAGGAGCCAAAAGCCAGCCCTGGGGCCAACCGCCGATAACTGACCCATACACACGCCAGCAGCAAAGCAGCAGCAGTACCAATCCAGCTGCACCAAGCATTGTCTCTCTTTCTCCTCTCTCTCTCTCTTTCTCCCTCTCTTCCTCTTCCATCCTTCTATCAACAACCTTCTCCTCCTTTCTTCATTATTGTTCCCCTGGGAACTTCCTTTTTTTTTTTCTCTCTCTTTCTTGCCATTCTTTCCTCGTAAACTCGTTTGTTGGGTTTATTACTGGAAACTCTTGGCTCGCCCATTCACCCTACCTTTCCCTCCCTGAATATTTTAGTCCGCGCCCGTTGCGCCTACGACTCCCCTGCACCGTACGTGATAACCCTTTTCCTCGGGCGCCTGACTTGTCCCTTTCTCTACTCTCAACTTCCCCCATCCACACACCCCCATCCATCCACTCCTGCAACAGCTTCCCACCTCGCTCGTTGTCGTTGTCCACTCTTTCACCCACATCATCCCCCTTTATTTCTATTCAACTCACCTTCACCTACCTCCTTTGCTAATCCTCCACGCTTTGAAAGATGGCTGAAATCCGCCGCAAGCTCGTCATCGTGGGCGATGGTGCCTGCGGTAAGACTTGTCTTTTGATGTGAGTACCCTCCCCTTCTTCCATTCTTTGCTGGGTAGGGATCAAACAGCGAACTGACCTTGGCTTCTTCTTCGACCAGTGTCTTCTCCAAGGGTACCTTCCCTGAGGTTAGCTTCCACCGACCCTCCTGGCCTGATCCCTAATGCCGTCTTTCCAACCCCCCCATCGTCAATCCGAGTTATCTGGATAGCCTTCCGGTCAAACACTCCGCTTCTATCAAACTGACCCTATCACGCTTTAGGTGTACGTCCCTACTGTGTTCGAGAATTACGTCGCCGACGTAGAGGTCGATGGCAAGCACGTCGAGCTTGCCCTTTGGGATACGGCTGGTCAGGAAGATTACGACCGTCTCCGTCCCCTCTCATACCCTGACTCCCATGTCATCCTGATCTGTTTCGCGGTTGACTCTCCCGACTCCCTCGACAACGTCCAGGAGAAGGTTAGTCCTCCGTCACATGCCTGGTCTCCTTGGCGGGCATATGGGCAAAGAATCTGCCCTCCAGGTAACTAACATGATTACAGTGGATCTCTGAAGTCCTTCACTTCTGCCAGGGACTTCCCATCATCCTCGTTGGCTGCAAGATGGATCTGCGCCATGACCCCAAGACCATTGAGGAGCTTCACAAGACCTCCCAGAAGCCGGTTACCCCTGAGCAGGTATGTGGCACACGACCAAGAGGATGCATTATCCCTTGAGATAGCGGCTAATATGCGATTAGGGTGAGGAGGTTCGCAAGAAGATCGGTGCTTACAAGTACCTTGAGTGCTCTGCGCGCACCAACGAGGGTGTCCGCGAGGTCTTTGAGGCTGCCACCCGGGCTGCCCTATTGACCAAGACCCACAAGAGCAAGAAGAAGTGCACCATCCTGTAAACTAGTTTTCTCTCCTTCGCAAAAGGTCTGTTTCATGCGGAGATTATATGAACGGATAAGCGTCTCACCTTTGGTTTTCTACTATCTATTTAAGAGGGGGTCATTCCGTTGGCGTGTTCCACTATGTGTGCCCGGATGCGAGTGTGGATAATGTTCAATCACGGGCACATGAGCTTCATGGGATATCTGGCTATGCAGTTGGTCGAGTTTTTCTATTTTGCAGACTTGATTTGATTTTCTAGGGAGGCGTTGTCTTCATAACCTCGTGGGTTTTTTCTTCTTCTTTCCTATCGGTTCCAGCACTAAATAGGCGCCCAACGGGACGGTTCTCGGTCACTATGGCAAAGAAGGGCGCCAGGTTGCCTTCGAAGCAAACGTCCTCGCTACGCGCGAGTACTGCATGCAGATACGGAATTGAGCATTTGAGGATTGCGTTCGTCTCATGTCTCTCCTATCAGTCAACTCTCTCGAATGGATCCGGTCCAAGGAAAGAAAAGGAAGTTGAGAATCGGAATCCCGATTCTCACTTTGTACGGATTCCCCTCAGCACAGTCTTATCCCCAAATCTGTTGTTTTTCCCCCTGTTTCGGTTAAAGAGAATGCATGGAATTTGTCGTTGGCTTGGTTTTCTCCTACATGTTCTGCAGCCTATCCTGTCGACCTGCACTGCATCATGTTCTATCGTCATGGTCTCCGAGCAGACATGAGGAATATCTAGCACTCCTATTAAGTTACTATTTACTAATCCACCATTTTCTCATACCCCTTTCTCGTATTGTGATCCTGTTGCGTATGCACTGCGTATTCTCCCAACCCAACCATCTATTTTAGCACCCGTACTTTTCGACCTATACCAGTCCCATTAACCACCCTAATGGACGAGTGGTACGCATACTACCTCAAATAGCAACACTCCATAGCCTAACGTAGCGATATTCGGTAGCCTACAGACAGGGAAGGGGGGTGGACAGACAGCAAGCCAAGGGGATGCAAATCCACCGATAGCTAGCGTCTATTGATAGTAACACTAGCCGAACTAGATAGAAGTCAAGACGTAAGTCAACCACCACCCATCATCATCCCCCATCTATATATGGAAATTGATAGAGAAAAACAAGGAATAGATATATATATATCGACGAAGCAGAAGATTAAAGGTGGTAATATAGTAGTTAGTATGTGATAGAAATAGAAAAGATGTTGTTATGTGGTATGTAATGGGTTCGTTCAATTTCAATCATACCATACATACATACATACATACGGGCAGTTCTGTATGTGACTTACGGGACTAATCTTTTTCAGGGGTAACAAACTATCTACACACTGTGTACCTAGGTTCCAATTCCCTACCTAACTAACTACTATCTATTTCTCATAGATAGTAGTGGATATAGTTCATCTTTCAAGGTTTATGTATGCCATATAGGTGGATGCTGATAGACAACATAGTCATGAGCTATTTTACTACGTAGTACTGACTTTCAGTAGTAGTTTCTGATTTGTATATATTGTGAATACAGCTTAACAAGTTCAAATTGAACATGGATTATCGAAACAAGGCACGATGAGCCATACATGGAGGGTCTACTTCAGTATGTCTCATGCTCTTTCTTACCTCATGTCATGCATTGTGGGAAGTGTCTATGATTTTTTTTTTCCCTCCTCGCTTTGTGGTAGGTGGGTTTGATCTTGTGGGTATGATCTTCGTTGAGTGGATTAGTAGTGAATCGTCTTCGGTCTCTAGTTACAGTTGCTATTTTCTTTCATCTGATTGGTTCAGTATTCAATGTATTGGAGGTAGTGGCACCTATCAGTGTGAATGATCTACTATATTCACTGCAGATAGTGACTATCAAGTAATACCAAACGAGCCTCTTTATTGGGTCGTAAATGTAATAAATATCATCTCATGTCTTATCTATTCAAACTGAGCA